CTTTACTCAATATGCATCCCCTTGCTCCTGGAATTTTAACATTAGATGTTGTGCAAACGAGAAGTCTCTTAGATTGATCGCACACGATTTTTCACGTTTGTGTTTGTATCAAAATTGGTATTGGGGGAAGGGGGGGCAAACTCATTGAATCCAATTCAAGCTTCGGAAAATATTATGATTCTGGAGACTAATGACTGTACCTCCTCAGTGCCAACATGATATAGAAAAAAACGGTGTATGAACTTTGATTCTGGCATGATGACGCATGAAGAGAGTCTCGTGCTTTGCTGGTTGAAGAATGGAACTTTATGCTGATATACACCTCGGTTGTGCGAGCATCTGTAGAAGGGTTGGCGGGCACATTCATTGGGAGATCTTTTTTTTGGCGCCGCGGCATTTCTTTTCGGTTTGGACAATTTGTGTCTCTTTCGACGGAAGCCATTTTTAGATTCAATTTCTGGGAGGCCGCTTCTAAGGCGAAGCCAAAAATGGCTTCATTTTTGAAATCAAATTTTGGCTTCGAGTTTGGAGCCAAAGTCTGTCTTTTTGGAGTTTGTGGCAAGTAATTCCCGATTGGCTTGTGAAGCAACAGGATGCGAGCAGAGAGAGTTGTCGCTGCTCTGCTGTGGTTCTACAGGCGACCCGATGGCTCAGTTGGTATGGCGTTGGTCTTGCCAGCGCTGACAGACTGTCGGTGGTGGTTCGAATCCCTGCTGGTCCACTCGGGAGTCTCAAGTGCGACCCGCCGAAAGGCAACGGGCGCCGACCACAAAAAAAGCTGCTCTGCTGTGGTTCTACAAGTATGATTCCGGCAGCTAAGCTCTGAAACAAATTCCTTGCCACAGGCTGCTCCATGACGGCAGCGCCAAAAAAAAAGATCTCCCAATGAATGTGCCCGCCAACCCTTCTACAGATGCTCGCACAACCGAGGTGTATATCAGCATAAAGTTCCATTCTTCAACCAGCAAAGCACGAGACTCTCTTCATGCGTCATCATGCCAGAATCAAAGGTCAACACCGTTTTTTCCAAATCATGTTGACACAGTTGCATTGCATCGTCTTGAAGCCTGGAAGGCAGCATGTGTCAATTCATGGATACACGGCATTTCTTTTCGGTTTGGACAGTTTGTGTCTCTTTCGACGCCATTTTTAGTTTCAATTTCTGGGAGGCCGCTTCTATTATTTCATTGGCGAAGCCAAAATTGGCTTCATTTTTGAGATCAACGAAGGCTACAAGGAAAAACGTGATGACCGCAGGGCTGAGCGCAAGGAGCGCCAAGATAGTGTGCCGCTATTGCGGCGTGATTCTTTCAGAGATCTTGACAACCGTCGATCCCGGTCTGTCAGCCGTGTATCCAGCCGAGACCTTTCTTCTCAAAGACCTCCGCCGCCGCCGGCGCCAGAAACACCTCCATCGCGGCCACGTGTTAAAGCAGCACCTGCATTTTAAAGCAAACAGTGAGTACATCCACTGTCGTGCCTCCTGTCAAGACGCCACCTGTACCGCCTCTCCGAGTGCTGAACGACCAGTTGCAACTCGAACCGTAGGATCCTCAAGCACAACGCCTCCCTGGCCAGAGCGCCAGAATACTGCTCGAGGTCGTGAACGATCTCAAACTCCGGTCGAACGCAACACGAAAACAAGAACCGAATCACGGTCGTCCATGGGAGCAAGCTGGACCAACACTAGACGTGACAGAGATCGTCCTGTTGGAGTTCCGGAGCCAGTGTCTCCTCCGAGCTGCATGTCGGGCTCGCAGTGGCTAAATCAAGGCTACCAAGAGTCCATGGGTTTGTAGGTTTCAATTGTCAGTGAGCCGAATTTCGGCCAGACAACAGCTGCCTGTCGTTTTGTTTTTGTCTTCGGACTCGTACGTTTCACAACAGATCACAAGCTGAGCGCTTCTTGTGTAAAAAGTAGCTGCATGTTCCGACACGAAAAAAAATTGTGTCTGTTTGTTATTATTTTTGTTTACGTGTCTACACAATGCTTTCACGCATGTTGACATGTACATTGAATTCATTTCCACTGCGCCACTCCGTGGCTCAAGACTACTGCATACCTGCGTAGAAAAAGAGAGTGTAGCTTGCGCTGACTGACCACAAGTGTTACAGTATAGTATCCAGGGCTCCCTCAACACGGGGATTGCTGCCTCACCCCCCTTAAGTCCCCCCTTCAGCACCCATTGAAGCCCTCCCTTAAGCCCTCCCCTTAAGCCCCGCCTTGAAGCTCCCCCTTAAGCCCCCCATTAAGCCCCCCTTGAAGCCTCCCCTTGCCCCTCCTTAAGCACCCCCTTAAGCCCCCCCTTAAGCCCCCCCTTAAGCCCCCCCTTAAGCCTTCAGCCCCCCATTAAGCCCCCCCTTAAGCCACCCCTTGAGGGCGTCCACCCTTCGAAGGAGGGGGGGGAAGGGGGGGCACCCTTCATGACCCCTCAAGCCACCCTTTAAGCCCCCCTGAAACCCTCCCTTCAAGCTCCCCTTTGACGAAGGGGGTGGGCCCGCCTTCGAGCATCCCGCGCTCCCGATTTGTTAACCTGACACTTCCTGGGGTCTCATCACGTGAGTACTTTTTTGGTGACTTGGTTGCATAGGTGTTCCCTCACATCACCGAGGGCTTAGCTCCTCGCCATCAAAGTTCGTTGCCTTCCTGCCCCTGGATTGGGCAGGTCGGTATCGGCTCGCAATTCCCCCTTTTAAGATGCCACTCCCCGCACACAGTAGATGACTGAGGTGCGGTCGCCTGAATTGTCGGCACTTTTGGGCTGCATTTTGGGACCTATGCCATGTTTCTGACCCCTGTCTCACCTATTGTGGGAGGCCCTGCCCCTCCCTAAAGTCGGCTGCACATAGATGCTATCGATGCAGATAGGTGGCTTAGTTTCAACTCTCCAAGCTCGACGTGAGCCAAAAGTTAACGACATATTCAAACAGTTCAACTGTTTCTGATGCCAAAACATCTGTTTCCAAAAAAACGCAGTTGTTCCAGAAACAAAACATCAACAACAAGGTTGTTCCATCTTCCCCCTCAGATCTCATCACTGAGAGAACACGAAACAAACACCTTAAAGGTTTTAAAATCCCAACCAGTTAAAAAACCGTTGTCTGACTTCACCACCAAACTCGGTCTTCTCCGGAAATTTTCTCTGAAAATTTCAGTTCAAATCAAAACAAAGTTCCACAGAGTTCAAGTACAACTTCCAAACAGATACAAAGGTCGTTGAACAAATTCTCTGCAAACCTGGTAACCTCGATTCCGTCTATCCTTCCCTCAAGGGATCAGCTCAAAACATTTTTTTCTCACGAGTTTCTCCTGTTGAAATAAATTCAAATGTTCAAATGTTCAGGAAAAAAATCGAAACATTGAAAACACGCAGCGCAGTTCCAAAAAAACTAATAAAGTCCGCATAGTCGGTTCAAACCACAACCAGCAGATCATCCAGTCTCCAAAATAGTTCCATGCAGATATTTCTATGGGGTTTCTCATGGCACATGATAACTCATTATTTGCACTACATGTTTGATGAACGGATTTATGAGTGAGCTGACCACTGTCGGATTTTTGTGCATTGCATTTTTTGGTTCAGTTTCAAGTGAAGCACAGAGCGAGTGCTCTTGTACATGTCAGGTGTTCATGCAGTACATTTTCATGTCATGCAGTCATGCATACATGATGGAACATCTTGACATGTCATCTTTTCATGTGATCAAACTAATGTTTTGATCTTAATTTTTTTAGTGTGCGTAGGCTTGAAGGTGAAAGGTCAGAATGCACTTGGTTCACAGGGGTCAGCCGAGAACATGTAAGCAAATAAATAGGTGAAGATAGTGGCAACGGTCTTCACAAGACATAGAAATACGATTCCAGCATTCTGCATGACAATCAAGCAGAATACAAGTGTAATATCTACAGACGCCAGTCTTCACTCACTTGCACCAAATTCATGTGTTTCCAGCATTGTTAACGAATTTTCTTCTATCAATGCCAGCATGCTCCAGCAGAAAATATTCCAGAAACACAAACCACATTCGAAACGCAGTTCGTAGCTCCAAAACACATCTCCCACACAGAATATGCACACATTGCAAGAGCAATCGAATACTCATGCAGTCCCGATACTCAAAGAAATTCTCCCTTCAAAATACCAGGTCAAATTCTTCCAATACTTCTCTCCAGGCATATCAGAATCATCTATACCATCGCTACACTGAAAAAACATGCAGACAACCGGTCCAGGCAGAAGAAACCCATGGAACCAAGGGTGATTTAGTGAGTTGGTGATGGGTGTAGTGAATGACTGATTTGATGGCCATTGTGATGTCACACGTAGAATATCCTGAATTGATGAATTGGTGGGTGATTGATTGGTTGATTGCATGTGCCCATAAGTCACGAATTTCGCTTTCAAATAGCCTCAGGTCAGACCTTCTTTCGGGCATATTTGCCCATTGTGTTGTAAAATTGAAACGGCCGCCCAACTGTTATTTTTATGTTTTGATCTTGTAGTCACGTTTCATTTGGTTTGTAAGTTGGTTTTCGCGGATGATTTACACCAAAATTCGTTGATTAGTTTTCATGTTAGTCGCAAAAAAAAAACGTTTCGGTTGGGTTGGAAAAATGCCCATGAACGAGTGAAACACAATCACTGTATGTATGTGTGGGATTTCTATGGGCGGCAATTTGGTGAGCAAACTTTAAATTCGAATTCCAATCCTTGCAAATTAAAACATTTTTTTGAGCGAAATTGTTTTCGTCATGTGTATCAAGGGGTCGGAGTTTTTTTTCCATCCGTTCGTTTGCGATATTCTTGTCGGTGCACGGTTCGTTTGTGCCATTGTTGCTCAAAGCATCCCAGACTATTCACATCAATTTGCCCAATTTGCAAACATATCTCCACACAAAAATAATTTCAATATTTTCCATTTGGATATGAAGAACACGTCAACCATTTTTTTTGTTTTACATAAAACGAATCCAACATGCTCACAATTTTTGAGTTTCTTTGCGGCTCGCTGGATTGCCATGGTTGCATCAAAGCGTCGGCTCAGAACTGGCAACCGCAAGAAAACCTTTGCCAGAAAACAACATGTCGGTCGGAAAATCTCGTCCACCAGTCCAGTCCATTCTTTTCAAACGGATGTTTTGGATCATGCCGAAACCGAACCCAGAGCATATTGCCACGTTGTGCCGGTGTTACAGCTCGTGTCCAAACATTTTCAAATTAAGCCGAACAAGTTGCAGATTTGGGACCCCTATTTTTGCAAGGGCACGATGGTGAAACACCTGGCCGATCTTGGCTTCCACAGCGTCCGCAATGTCAACGAGGACTTCTACAAAGTGCAACAAACTGGAGTTCCGGAATCTGGGCAAACTACCTAATTTTGATGATGTAAACAGATCGTATAAGGCAAAATTTGACATGTTTCATTAATTTTGGAAGCGTTGTGCCACGTGATTTTCCGAATTCAAGGGTTTTTGGATTTGTAAGCTAAGGACCATCATGTTCTCCTCACAAATCCGCCATATTCCTCTGACCACTTGGAACGGTGCCTCACGTTTTGCGTGGAATCTACAAAACCCTGCATTTTGCTGCTGCCGTGCTGGGTTGCCAAAAAACCATATTTTTCGAAATTATTTGGATGCCGAGACAATCATATTTTCTTCATTGCATCGCTTCAAAGATACAACTATACGATGCCAGCTGATTTGGTGCCAGAATCATGCAAACCGTCTTGGGTTGGAGATGATGGGCAAACATCGCCCTTTCAGTCCTGTTGGTACGTATATTTACCGCCTCCCTTCAAACCTGGGATTTTTTTCGAGAATCTAAAATGTAACATGGCCAAGAGCGGACCGTTTGACTGCGTGCTTGCCAAGCGACTTCAAAGCGTGAAGTGGAAACTCAAGAAAACACGTGCACAAGGTGGGCAAGGACGACCTGAGGCAGAATGTCACGATCAAGAAAAACGAAAACGGAAAAAACACCGCCAGAAATGTGAACGACCAGCAGTGCCTGGAACGGTCGAGTTTGATTGAAAAAAGGTGAGTGCGTGGGATGGCTGGTGATATGTTTGGTGATGTTTGGTGGAAATGCATTAAATCCCACTATCCCACTCCCACATGACAGACCCCTCCAACGAATTATACCTTGATTTCGGACAATCACAGAGACCGGTGAAAGAATTCACCAACCTTTCATGGAACCTAAGAACTACAATTTGCTTTGATGCGGATCCCATACATCACCTTTGAAGAAAAGGCCCAAACAAATCAAGGACATGATATGTCCTTCTATATACATTTTTTTCTTTGCATATTTTGTGATTTGTATTTATTTGTAAAATCAAATCAACTGCAATTTTTTTTTTGATGTTTTTTCGCCAACGACTCCAACTTTCTCTTTTTGCATTTGTTTGTCAATAACGCAAACAGAACATATCATTCGCCCGTCATTTTTTTCACCCAGGACAGGGGGTTTGTTTGATCCCTGCTTCACTAGCTGAGTGCTTGCCTTACTTCAGAGCCAGCATTTGGCAAAAAGGTTGGAACCCCGACAGGATGGAGACAGGATGTGTGCGAATCCCCAAAAAGTTCGACAGGGAACACCGAACACCATATTTTTTTCCGAACTGCGAAAATAGATTGACAATGCTGATATGTACTGTGTTTAAGCGCAGAGCACAGACGCAATGGAGTGATAGTAGAGCTAGATGTTGAGTCCATCAGTGCGAGGAGTTGAGGACAGAAACATTGGGAGATGCTTGGGTCATCCGCAATACTCTGGCTTTCAGTGGAAGAAGTTGGCAATCACCATGGGCAGATTTCAGAGCCCGAGATCCTGACGCGCGCTGATGCTCGATGAAACCTTCTGACTTGGGTGTGTCTGAGAATGGGCATACCTTCAACATAGCCATTTAATGGGGATGATGATGATGTTGTTGTTGTTGTTGCTGCTGTTGTTGTTGTTGTCGTTGTCGTTGTCGTTGTGGTTGTTGTGGTTGTGGTTGTTGTGGTTGTGGTTGTTGTTGTTGTTGTTGTTGTTGATGTTGATGTTGATGTTGATGATGCGGATGATGCCGATGAGGATAATGATGATGAGGATGATGAGGATGAGGATGATGATGATGATGGTGGTGGTGGTGGTGGTGATGATGTTGATGTTGATGATAATGATGATGATGATGATGATGATGAGGATGATGAAGATGAAGATGAAAATGATGATGCTGCTGCTGCTGATGATGATGATGAATATGACGGTGACGATGGCGATGACGATGACGATGATGAGGATGATGATGATGATGATGATGATGATGATGACCATGACGATGACGATGACGATATGATGATTACCGAGGGAAGTTTAGAAGTCAAACTTCCGACAATATGGGGACAGATGAAAAGCAGAGATGGGAAGTGTCAGCGAAGAGAAGAGAAGAAGAAAGAAGATCAAAAAAAGGAAAGTCTCCGAAGAAAGAAGATCCAGGTGTGCGAAATGGTGGGAAAGTCGCGAAACATTGTGTTTTTCCAATGATTTGTGGCTCCGGAGGGTCGAAAAGTAGGCTCCCTAAAGCCGCGGGTGCGGAGCCCGCTGGGCAGATGAGAGATGAACAATTGCACGCCGTTGTGGCGCAAAGCACATTTGCAAGTGAAAAAGCTAAAAGCACACCAGCTCCGGACCACTTTTGGAAGTTGAGATGTCGAAAAAGTGCACGCCGTTGTGGCGCGAAGCACATTTCGAAGTCAAAATGTACAAAACACACCAGCTCCGGGCCACTTTTTTGAGATGTCGAAAAAGTGCACGCCGCTGTGGCGCGAACAAAAATTTCGAAGTCAAAATGCACAAAAACACCAGGGGTTCGGACCACGTTTGGAAGTTGCGATGTCGAAAAAATGCACGCTGTTGTGGCGCGAAGCACATTTCGGAAGCCAAAATGTTACAAACACGCGGGGCTCGGACCACTTTTGGACGTTCAGATGTCGTTTCGCGTGGCAGGCGCAAGGGATTGTGCATCTTGTCAAAAGTGAGCAAGACTTGAGGGTTTTGTAGCATTTTCAACTGCAACCGCTACACCACACTACACTCCAATACACTACAAAACAACTACAACTACACCATCACTACATTCCACTACACTACACTACACTCCACTACACTCATTTACATCGAATTACATTCAATTACATTCAATTACGTTCAATTTCACTACACTACACTACACTACATTCCACTACACTAGACTACACTACACTACACTCCACTGCGCTGCATTGCACTACACGACACTGCATTCCACTACACTCCACGACACTAAAACTACCCTACACTACATTCCACTACACAACACTACACTCCACTACACTCCACTACACTACACTACAATACACTTCACTACAGTACATTCCACTGCAATCCACTCCACTACACTCAGTTACACTACACTACACTACACTACATTACGCTACACTACGCTACACTACACTACACTACCCTACGCTACGCTACACTACACTACGCTACACTACACTACACTACACTACACTAACTACAACAACAACAACTACAACTACAACAATACTTGTGAAAGTTTGAGATTCAGTGTAAAGACATTGGATCATGGCGTCTTGCAGACTTGAAGCACATGTCTCACGCTGCATTGATAGGCCGCTTTTGGCTTGAAGGAAAATTCCGCATGGCAGCGGAGCCCCATTAGGGGGGCAAAGCGACTTGAAGCCATGCGACGGTGAACTTCAAGAAAAAGGCTTCAAACTAGTGTTGCAGGATCTCGCAATCAGTGCAGTGGCTACCTCAAGGTCATTTGCTTAGCACCTACATCCTGCTCACCTTGGACGTTTTGCTGAACCTCTACAATTCGATCCAGGACTTTGCTCACTACGTGACAAAGCCCAAAGATGGCAACAGATCAACCTGCGCAATCACCTCATGGGTCACCCTATGGGTCACCTCATGGACAAGGACAACCTGGAGATCTACCCCAAGGAGTTTTTCAAGCTGCTGGAGTTCCCCAAGCGACAGGTCTGGCAGAGATGACTGAGATAGCTCGAGTTGTAGCCAATGCAGCTTCAGTGGCAGCAGAAGCAGCAAGAGCAGCACAGGCAACTTCGAGTGGAGAGCGCAAAAAGGATCTCTACCGCCTCATTCCTCGACCACCAACTTTTGCACCAAGTGATAGGGATCAAGAAGTCAGCCAATGGAGAGACTGGTACTGGGCTTTCAAGCAGTATCTTTTGGTGGTTGATGGAAAATATGAGGATGACATAGCCTATGTGGAGCGCGCCACCGAGGAGGTGGACTGGGATCTACTTGATTCAGATGAACAACACAGAGCACGCTTCATGTACTCCTTGCTCAGCACGCTCTTGCAGGGACGCTTGTTGAGTTTGGTCAGGGGGATCGAGAAAAGCAATGGAATGGAGGCACTTCGACAGCTTCTACAAAACTGTCAACCTCGTGCAAGGAATCGAACCATGGCCATGTTGCAAAGTTTGATGAGTTACCCTGCCTTCAACATGAAGGGCAGTGTCATGGCTCAGGTGGTTAGAATGGAGGAGCACTTCAACCAGTTTGAAAAGATGGGTGGAAAACTCACTGATGAGATGAAAGCTGCGGTCCTGCTCAAGTGCATTTCAGGGCCTTTGAAGATTCATTTGAACCTTTCTTTGAACGAGTCTTCGAGCTATGCAAAGATTCGTGAAGTCATTCAGGCCTATGACACAGCGACAACGAAGTGGACAGATGGAGCCATCAATTCCTTTCCTCTACAACCTCTTCAAGACTCTACTGGTGTAATGCCTATGGAGGTGGATCGGGTCAAAGGTGGAAAGAATAGTGGCAAGTCAAAAGGAAAAGGCAAGGACGTCAAGGGCAAGTCGAAGGGAAAGGAGCAGAAGGGCAAGGGCAAGAACCAGAACCATGCCTCATGGACTTCTTCCTCGGCTACTTCATGGACGTCGTCTTCAAAAGGGAATGGAAAAGGAGATCAAAAAGGCCAGAGTGACAAGACCAAAGGAAAGGGAAAGACAAAGGAGTCAGGGCTTTGTTTCAACTGTGGACGCCCTGGTCATCAAGCGAAAGATTGCTGGCGAGTTCGGCAAGTTGGCAATGCAGACCCATCAGCAACTGTGGTTACAAATGCCTCAGTTCAAGAGAGTGTAGGGCCATCTGCATCACAGGCAGGTGGTGGACTTGCAGTGAAAAGAGTTTCAGTTTGCCCTGGTGATGGTGAAGCGAGTGAATCTCCCGTGGTCTTTGATCTGAGGAGCTCTTCGTCTTCAAGCTGGAACTACGTGCGTATGGTGAAGTTTTTCTACATCGATGAGGAGCTGGAGGAGCCAGTTTCTTTGAGGAGTGCAACAGTCATGGACAACAAGGTGGAGAAGTACGAGGTGGATGGAGGTGAAGTCAGCATCATCATTGACTCAGGTGCTGATGCTCCAGTTTTCCCTGCGTCGATGGTGCACTGTGGAACTGACCATCACGGCCAAGAAGTTTCTCTTCAGGATGCTCAAGGCAGAAAGATCCCTGTTTTGGGCCAACGATCAGTTTCTGTGCTCTTGGAGGATGTGAACGGCATCGAAATCGAGCTGCGCGACAATGTGATCTTCTCCAATGAGATCAGCCAACCAATTCTGAGCTATGGTCGCTTGATGGATGCAGGTTGGAGTATCTGCGCTGAAACAAGGTGCTTGCGAAATGGGAACTTTGAAGTACCTCTGGAGTTTCAAAACCACAGTTTGGTGGTGAAAGGGCATGTGAGAAATGTCAGCGCTGTGCCCACAACAGTGCGAGCTTTGAAAGCTGAGCTCACCCCAGGTCTTCAAGCCTATGTGGATCATGCCTTTGGATGGAGCAAAGAAGGTGAACGATGGGTTGGAATCCATCTCAGCTCCAAGTACCAGAACCCGCTCTTCATCCCCAACTTGGACTACAACATCGAATGGTTTCGAACTACGCTCATCAAGAAGGACCAGACTTGGATCATGGTGGAGTTCTGCGAGAAGGTTTCTGAGATGCTGGATCCAGAGCTCTACATCGATGAGACAGCTGGACGAACAACAGTTGTTACCTTCTTGACAGATGGCTTTGAGGATGTGGAGAACATGGGTTTTCAAGTTGAAGGTGGAGCTGATCGAGAAGAACTGGAATTGCTGGAAGGCGAGATTCAGCCCTACTACGACATCCCCATGGACGAGGAGTTGGAACAGCGTGAAGTTGCTGAAGCTCAACTACAACCTGGACATCGAGAACAAGCTGGTGATGATCAACATGGAGAACCTCCCTTGGATGCTGGTGGACAAGATCTACATCGAGGTCAACTACAACCTCAAGTTCCTCAAGAAGGTCACATCGTGGTCGGAGAGGTTATCCCTGCTGAGATCGAAGTGAATGGGCAGGTGCTTTCAGCTTCGAGCACTTTGGCAACTTTGAGAGCTGCATGTGGGTTCTATGGTGTGAGCAAAACTGGGTCAAAAGCCAAGTGTTACAGGCGTTTGTGCCAACACCAGAAGACACTTGAACTTTTGGCTGCAACAGCTGCTGTAGCTCAAGCAGAGGGAGTGGTTGAACGACATCCCAATGCTCAAGCTCTTGCAAGAGTTCCTGATGCACGTGAACGTGAACTTCATGCTCTCACCCACACACCATATGCTCCTTGGTGCTCGTCATGCCTGAAGCATCGTGCCAGACCAGATCAACATCGTCGCACTGGTGAAGCTCATGACACTCCAGTGCCAGTGGTTTCCATGGACTTTGCAGTCACCAAGAAGAAGGATGGGCTAGCAGAAAACCCAGAAGGAGCAGCTGAAGATAAGGGAGCTCTATGGCTTGTGCTCACTGACAGCCACACGGGCTACCTTGGAGTGATCCCCATCCAGTCCAAGGGCCAGATCAACTACATGACTCACGAGGTGCTTAGCTTTGTCCAGAGTTTGGGATATGCTGAAGTTGGTTTTTACGGTGACAACGAACCCACAATTCGGCAGATCCTCAGAACAATCATCACCTCACGACATGCTCTTGGTTTGAAAACAAGGATCTACACCACGAAGGTGAAGGACTCAGCTGGAAATGCCCTGGTGGAAAATAGCATTCAAAGGATTCGACAATTGGCATGTACCCTTGTTGAAGATGTTTGCGAGCGCACTGGACTTGTTTTTCCGTGTGAACATGCTTTGTGGAGCTGGGCTGGACGGCATGCTGCATGGTGTCTAAACCGTTTTCAGGTTGGGAAGTCACTGACTGCCTATGAAGTGACTCATGGAAAAAGATATGGAGGAAAGACAGCTTGCTTTGCTGAGCCGGTCTATGCCTACTGCAAGGGTCGTGGAAAAGCTGATGCCAAATGGCGAGTTGGTTTGATGCTTGGAAAGACGGAAGCTCAAGACGCATGGATCATCGGTGATGGTGTTGATGTGATGCTTAGCCGAAGCATTCGAAGAGTTGATCAACCTTGGAACCGTTTTCTGGCTTACTACATGGGACTCCAAACACATAGTTATGTCTACCAGACTAACTTTGGGGGAAGGATCGTGCCAACAAAAAGGAAAGTTGTTCCTCAACGACAAGAAGGCAGACTATTGCCTAAGATGAGTGAGGTTGAAAGAAGGTTTGCAGATGAAGAAGCACGAGCTGTTTTGGAATATGCCAGATCTCGCGAAGGTCGTCTTGAAGCTCAACGTGAAGTTCAAGAAGCTTTGGATGCTCTACCAGAACAAGTTCCTCCTGGAGTTGCAGTACGAGTTGAAGATCCACCTGGTGAACCACAACCTCCTGGACAAGAAGGCCAAGCACTACCTTCAGTGCCCTCTCAACCAATCAATGCGCCACTTCTTGCACAACCCTCTTCACCAAGAACGGCTTCGATGAAACAACCTGATGTTGGACGTGGAGAACTTGGTGAGGAGGAGCCTTCAACAAAGAGAACACGACATGAGGAGAATGTTGCAAGAAGAATTGAAATGGTGGAGCGAAGATTGGTGGAAGTGAACATTGGTGAGGATCAGTTCTATCACCTGGACAATGTCATCGACCAGGACTTTGTCAACGCCTTTGAGTCCGAGGACATGGAGGTGGATGAGAAGGTTGCCATGGATGTGAATGCGATGGAAAAGCTTTGGTCAGATGATGCTCTCACACGAGTTCCTCAAGATCCAGATCCTGAAGTTGATCGTCTTGCAGATATGGTTGAACTTCAACGACTCCAAGACATGGGAGTGATCAAGGTGCTCACTGCTGAGGACTCTGGTCTGAGTTCACTTACGACAAGAATGGTGTATGACTGGAGGATCAAAGAATGGAAGAACCCTCAGACAGGTGAGATAAGGCGACGTTGGATGAGGAGAGCACGTTTGGTTGCACGAGAATATGCACGTTTGGTTGACAGAGATCAGCTGCAGATTGGGTCGCTGGACGTGAAGGATGCATTTCTCATGGCCAACCAAGAACAACCAGTTCAGATTGGCACCAAGAATGGCAAGTTCAAAGTGCTGAAAAACCTTCCTGGGCAGCGCATGGCTGCAAAAGCATGGTATGAATACATTGCTACGTTTTTGGAAAAGAAAGGCATTAAGTAGGAGAACCCATGCCTGGGAAAACGTGGTGACAGACTTTTTATCCTTTTGCATGTGGATGACATGATGGTTTGTGGCTTCAAGGACGAGATCCAGAAGCTGATCAGCGAGCTGAAGGCTGAGTTTGTCATCTCGCACAAGATTGCTCAGTTTGTTGGCGATGAGTTTGAGTTCTTGAAAAGGACTTACAAGTTGACAGAAGATGGGATGGATGTCATTCCTGGTCACTACGCTGAGACGATGATCAAGGCGTTTGAGGAGAAGTACGGCCAGGTGAAACAACAGCAAGTTCCATGTGGAGATGAAGCACAAGAGATTTCGAACTCCATGCTGCTACCTGGTGACGAAGCCTCGCTTTTTCGTTCTTTGGTGGGTAGTGGAATCTATCTCTCACAGGAGCGCATCGAGCTGGGCTATGTCATCAAGCAGTTGGCAAGCGGCATGAGCAGCCCAACCTATGGTCATTTGCAGGTCATGAAGAAGCTGATTGGATACCTCAAATCGACTGTGGGCAACTACAACCACTTGGAGCTTCCCAGCTATGGCAAGGGCATCCACCACCACTATGACTCAAAATGGGTTTTGGAAAGCTTCACAGACTCTGACTGGTCTGGAGGAAGGATGACACGGCGGAGTACAAGCAGCAGTGTTCATTGCCTCAACGGCATCATCCTGTGCCACAGCAGCAGAGGTCAGAAGGTTGTTAGCCTTTCATCTGCTGAAGCAGAACTTCATGGACTTGTTGGAGGAGCAGTTGATGGAATAGCTCTACGAGTTTGCATCGAGTTCCTGATGGATGTGAAGGTCCAACATGTATGCCTGATCGACAACTCTGCAACCCGGCAGATTTCAAACAAAAGAGGAAGCGGACGTCTACGCCATGTTTCAGGGAAACTACTTTGGATACAAGATCAAACGAGTGCAAAGGTGCTGGAGGTCAAGCAGATCAGCACTGCCCTGAACATTGGTGACATTGGGACAAAGCCTCTTGGACGTCATCGACTCTATGCTTTGATGTTTTGGTGTAACCTCTACAACAAGGACGGCATCCCCATTGGAGAAGCTGAAGCAACACAGGTGAAAGAAAACAACATCAGCAAGGCGAAAATCATGCGGGTGGCAAAGCTTTTACAAGCGATGGTGGTGATTGGCGGCCTTGAGCAGGCACACGGAGAACTTCTTCCATTTCGAATGGACCTTGAACCCATCACACCCGTGGAAGCGAAGATTTGGTTTTCCTTTGAGATGTTCTTCATCCTGTTCTTCATGGCGGTGCTGGCAGGTTTCTTTGTGGTGTACAAGGCCTACATTGGACTACGTCGTGAACTTCGACAACTTCGTGGAGAACTACAAGTACGACAAGATCAGATGAAAGATCGACAAGATGATCTTAGCAATGAGTCAGCAATGCAGCACATTCATGTAACTGCAATGCATGTGGCTTTGATTCGACTTGGCGGCTACGTGGACTTGAACCAGGCCATTACAGAACAAGACTGGGACAACTGGCATTACATCGAACGTGGAAATCGTGTTGAAGATGATCGAGTTTGCCGACGTGGACTTCGACATCTACGCCGAGCAGTTCGCACAAGACTCAGGAGGAGACATGAAACTCCTGAAAGAGAACCACGAGGTCCTCGATATGATGCCAGCCAATCTCGAGACAGAGATCCAGCAGAAGATGAAAATGCAGGAGATGACAATGCTCCTGAGAACATGTCCCAGGAGGAGTACAACAGGAGGATGGAGTCAGAGAATCCAGAAGATTGGCCGAGTGAACCCCAAGAAGTACGCCGTCAGCGTTACTTGAACTCAACTCTCAGCGAGTGCTCTGATCCAGACGAATGGATGAGTCTACATCATGGTGAACCTGGTGTCGGACTTTACTATGAAGGAGACGAGCCCAATGACGAAGGAGAAGAAAGTGAGCCTACAGGAGATGAATCTCCAGTTCCTAGCGAGAAGGACACTGTGGTGAGCGAATTCATGCGGGACGAGTACATCGAGTGGCCCCGCTACGATTTCTCAGCATCACAGGACAGAGCTCAACTTTCTGCTTTGCAATGGATCAGGGACTTCAGCCTACGAAAGGCACGAGCAATTCGAGATGAGAATGAGAGATTGGTTTCATGGTGCAATGATCAAATGAATCAGCACCGACTATACAGCATAGTAGGATCAATCACACTGAACCCCAATGAAGGATGACAGACTGAGCGAATAGCCCAGTATGTCAAGGAGGAGTGTGAAAGTTTGAGATTCAGTGTAAAGACATTGGATCATGGCGTCTTGCAGACTTGAAGCACATGTCTCACGCTGCATTGATAGGCCGCTTTTGGCTTGAAGGAAAATTCCGCAATACTACATTTACACTACGCTACACTACACGACGCTACACTCCACTACACTGCGCTACACTGAATGACACTGCGCTACATCTACAACTACAACTGCAACTGGAACTGCAACTACACTACATTACATTGCGCTACGCTAATGACATTACACTACACTACGCTACACTACATTACACTACATTACGCTACAGCACACTAACTACAACTACAGCTACATAAGACTACACTACACTACACTAATTACATTACACTACACTGCGCTACACTACATTACACTACATCACGCTAACTACAACTACAACTACATAAGACTACACTACACTACACAAATGACATTACACTACACTGCACTACACTACACCCCACTCCACTACACTACACTCCACTCCACTACACTACAGTACACTACACTCAATTACACTACGCTACACTACACTACCCTACCCTACACTGCACTACACTACACTACACTACACTACACTATACTACACTACACTACACTACACTCACTACAACTAGAACTAGAACTACACCCACACCACACCGCACCACACGACACGACACGACACGACACTACACTACACCACACGACACCACTGCACTACACTGCATTACGCTACACTACGCTACACTACGCTACACTACCCTACGCTGCGCTACACTACACTACACTACGCTACACTACGCTACACCACACCACACTACACCAATTACACTACACTACACTACCCTACCCCACCTTGCATTATATTATATTACATTACATGACACTACACTCATTACAGTTCCACTAACGCAACTTGAAACCTCGCAGTTTGAACGTAATGGGTGTGTAGTGGATGACTCATAGATTGGGAATGCTGGGTATAAACTATGCACTTTTGGCCACAACGGCTGTGTTCAGATCCCAACAGAAGGTGGAGGAAAGAAGTGATGCATTGAGTTGTTATACAATCATATATATATAATCATATATATATATATAATCATATATATATATATCTAATCATATATATTTATATCTAATCATATATATATATATCTAATCATATATATATATATACAGAAAGGGACGCTGGCTGGTCCCCATTTTCCCACGTTTCTGGAAATGCAGTGTTTTTTCTACATCCTGTTCTGTCATTTATGTTCATATACATGTTATGATATTACTAGAGATCTACACAGATTGTCAGACTTCCTCAGAGGTTGCCAAAGAATGTCCAGAGAGTCATGAAGGTCTCCAGGGAAAAGGAAAGAGGAAAAACACACATAGTGTGTGTATACATATATGGCTTCCCTTAGGGGAGAGGTGGCAAAGGACAAAACGAAAAAAAAATTCGAGCCTTTCCCCTCTCCTAGCCCTCCTACACATAGCCCTCCTACATACATTGAGGGACTTGCATTTTTCCTGGTAGTACTACTGTATGATATGGATGGTACATAAGTAGCACATACCAATACGTACACATATTTTCTGCATGTACTTTGCATATGTAATGGAATTCTTCCAGGATTGATTGCAATAAAGACTCTTTGGTTGCAACTGACTTTGCTCATAAGTCATAAGAGTTGGCACATGGGAAGGACAGCTCCAACTTACACTTTCTCCAAAAATATTTTTCCTGTATATTTCACAGTAATTTGCTATGCCACTGCATATGTAATCCAGGTATCCTGTTACCATAATTGCCTGGCTGTGCTTTTATGATCTTTTTATTACCAAAAATGTACTCATGGTTGTGGACAAAGCTTAAACTATGTCAGTATAAGTCCACCATGGTAACCAGAAGGGCACAAGACCAAGTAAAGGAAACACTTAAGCAACCTTACCAAACAATTGTATCTATAGAATGGCTGCCTTGCTTTCATTGATGCAGCAAGTTACCATTTTCATTGATGCAGCAAGTTACCATGAAGTATGCAAAAAAATGCAACTACTTGAGGAGGGACAGTAGATTGGAATTTGCAGTTTCATTTGCTAAAAGAGTTCCACTGGAACTATGATGTCAACCAAAAGGCGACCTGGCAGTCCAATATCAAAAACCACCAATGCAAATACAAAGTGCTATGTATATGAATAAATATATAAACCGTGTTTGCATTAGCTGCATACCTAGGTGGTACCTATACGTTAATATACACAAGAAGTACCAGCTGACACAATGAATCTCTATGTTTCAAGATGTTGTTGGGCAAAGAACTTTGCCACTCATGCACTAAGACCACCTATCAAAAAACAATAGAGCTACAAAAAGCAAGCAACCAAGAATAGAGCTAAGGATTAACAAACCAAAAACAGTACATCTCCCAAGAACTTTGATCTTTCATATATGATCAAAAGAGGAAAAAAACATAAAATAGTCAAAAAAACGCTTAAACCCACGTATTTTTGGGGACCTGGTGGCGTCCCACTCTCTATATATACATATATTAATATATATATAATATATATATATATATATAAATATATATATATATATACATATTACAATTTCAAAATCAAAAGAAGGGAAGGTCAACGGTCAACCTCCAAAAATTTTATACCCAGGATTGGTGCCCCAGCTGTCGCTGACAAAGCACCAGGAGCGCTGACTTGGTGAATTCTTTCAGCGACTGGCGTGGCTATTCCTCCGTTGAGACTTATATTAAAGATATTTTCTAACTGAGCCGCCATAAAAAATATGAGCTCAATTAGTTGATATTTTCTACTTTTAGGATCCCAAAAATCTCGGGCCATATTCAAATACCATATTCAGTTCTACGTATATTTCAGCTAGCTTAGTTAAACTCAAAATTTTGACCAAATTTTGTTTTTCTGGGAAGGGCGATCTCCAGCCATTCAGCAAAGAAAAAAATCCAAAAATGGAGCAAAACATCAGGAATTAGATGGGATATCCGGCAACCAACGAGGGGAGAACACTAGTCATTGGGCCTTGAAAAGAAATTCCGGGCAACCCCAAGCTATGGTTGGCCAAAAAGTGATGGATCATCATATTTCATTTTTGCAGGTTATGTAACCCAGTCATATAAGTGAAGTGGGATATGTCATCTGGTTGTCACCGACTTACCATTTCCGAGATGCATCCCCAAACACCCATGACATTTCGCTGGGTCTGAAATTGCTACAGGATGGGCGCCATCTTGTCTGAGCCGGTCACTGCTATGGCGACTTTGGCCTAACTTATTCGCCAGTCCTGGGGGTAAGAGGCGACTGAAGGTCGTTTTTTTTTCGTGTTTGAAGGGTCTGAACCTAACATGTTATTCAGCGGAAACAGATGGAAACGGCAGGATTTTTTTTCGAAGCGACGAGACGGCGATTCGCATGATGCGAGCATCACTGCACAGACAGTCCATTCAAATTTGCGTTGGCCCAGCCCTGGAAATTTTATGACTGTCCGATGGCTCCGGGAGATAGCCAATGCGTTTTTTTTTTCTCCATATCACCATCGTTTGATGTGCTCATTGCTGATGATATTCCCATTTTTGCTCACTTGTATCAATGACCGATAGGTGGTAGATCAGATACTTTGAGATTTCCTGAAATAGGGGTACCCCCAAATCATCCATTTTAAGCGGATTTTCCATTATAAACTAACCATTTGGGGGTACCCCCATTTATGGAAACCATCACTTTAAGAAAAACATTTGTTTGTTTGAGATTGTTTTCCCCGATTCCCCATTGTTGTATCCCATGTCCAGAATTTGCCCATTATTGCCTGGCTACAGTCTCAACATTGGTTGGACCGCTACATTTCCTAGTTCAGCACTGGTTGGTTAATCATACTATTCTTATCCCCAGTATGCATATACGAATACATTACATGTACATAAATATGTGTATGTTTATATATACATGTCCCCTGTCTCGTGTTGTATGGGGGGTTACCCCCGCAACCCCCAACCTCCCCTGGCGGGAGGGATATACTGTATACATAATTTGCACATACACATACTACATACGCATACACACACAAATATATATATATATATATATATAATATACACACAATACTCACATATGTATATATGTATATATGTATATATGTATATATGTATATATGTATATATGTATATATGTATATATGTATATATGTATATATGTATATATGTATATATGTGTATATGTGTATATGTGTATATGTGTATATGTAAATATGTATGTATGTATATGTGTATATATGTATATATGTATATATGTATATATGTATATATGCATATATGCATATATGCATATATGTATATATGTATATATGTATATATGTATATATGTATATATGTATACTGTAAGGGCCCACCAACTTGAAGCATCGAATGCCTTCATTTTAAGGGCGCAGAAACCTGCCTTAACACATGGCGGACAATGTGATTCTTTCCTATGATGTTGTTGTTCTTGTTGCGAGACAGAGAGGAACAATTTGAGTCACCGTGTCGCAGCCTTTTTGGATTCAGCTTGCGGAGACTGTTGTGCACCACACAGCACATTGAGCATGTCTGATGCAGCAAGTGATGATACCGAACGGCGAAGCCATGGTGCAGATGACGCTGCTGCAGCTGGTGGGGGTAGGACGCCTGTTGCGGCAGCCCCACCGGATCCACTTCCACAAGTGCGCGCTGAGAGGCAGACGCTGAAGCACCAGCTCAAAGTCGCTACGAAGCAGATAAGGAACAAGGCAGGCCCAGGGTTTGAGGAGCCACTTTCGGGAACCACTTTTAAAGCAGGGTCTGGTCTAGAGGACAGTAAGATCAGTAAGAACCACTTAGAACCCAATGAGGTTCGCAGAGGCGATTGGAGTCACAGAACTTGCTTTGGTGTTCTAAGAATTTCTTCTTATGGATCTTAGACTCTAAGAACCTTTTCTTGGTTTGCAGAAGGTCTTAGCAAAATGTTGGTACATTGAACCTTGTAGAACTAGGCCCCTCCGGACTGGGCCCCTAGAGTTACACCCTAGGGTTGTTCTAGACAATCATTCCTGTTCCTGTATCTTCTTGCTTTTTAAGTTCGTTAGTTTGGGAGAATCAGAGTTCGTTAGTTTGAGCCACTGTGAAGGAGCGCCGTCGCAAAAATTTGATGAGGAGAGCCGGGAAGCTTTCAGCAGCTGATTTGACCTGGCTTTTGGCCCGTCGGGTTGTGCAATGAGAACTTGAAGTTTTTGCATGTTGACAAAAACCCGCTTAAGGTGGGTGCGTGCAATGACTGACTTGGATGAGCTGTGTCGACCGACATGGCAGACCTGAAGCCATTTCACACTTGCCAGCTCGTTTAATCGCTGCAGGCAACGTGTGTGCAGCTGTGGGTTGTTGTTCGAAAAACACCGCTGTCCCGCTACTGGAAGGCATAACATTGGGTGAAAGCATCATATGACAAAATTTGTGTGTGTACCATCAGAGTGTAGCGTGCTTTGTGGCACTCTGAGCATCTGTTCTTATCAGTGCGACAACTGATATGTCTCCAACTGGAGACTTGCTTGTCACATCAATTTTGCTGGGGAAGTGTCTTTCTGAACTTGCTTGGGAGCCTTCATGTGTTGTGCTGGCGTGGCACTGCGCTCAAATCAATTTTAGACCATCATCGCTTTGAACGCTTTTTCCATGGTATGCCGAACTCTGCTCGTCAATGAATGCGGGAGCTGCAGCGACATGCGCTTGGATTCCAGGACATGCTGGGCCAGGGGTTGGTTGAGAAAAAGCTTAGTTGCTTGGAGGTTTTAGCAGGTATCCTGCATGAATAACTTTGCAAGGTCCCCATCGCATCAAAGATCTTGATAATGCAATGTCATGAGCAACATTGAATGTGAACCTGTGTGTGTTTTCTAGGTCGCTAATTCCGGGTTGTGAAACATGTGTATGGATCGTCCAGCTCGCTGCTTATATATATATTGATTGGTTTTATACTATATTATATATATATAGATATATATATATATATATCTATATATATATATACCAGTAGTACCGCACAAGGCGGTGGCGGAAGTTTCAGAATAGGAAACCTATAGGAGAGGTTGGTTGTTGTGAATCACGGATGGCAGAGCGAATCCACTGATTGACCGAAAGGTGGTTGGAGTTGTGATTGTTGGAGTGGTTGCAATGGTTGCAGTGGTCACCTCACCCACAACTGCAGGATGTAGTGTGTGGTGTAGTGCAGCTGTAGCTGTAACGTAGTGGAGTTGTAGTTGTGGTGTAGTGTAATTAGTGTAGTGCATTTGCAGTTAAATTGCAGTGTAGTGAAGTGTAGTGTAGTGTGGTGTAATGTAGTGTAATGAAGTGTCATGTACTGTAGTGTAGTGTAGTGTAGCGTAGCGTAGTGTAGTGTAGTGTAGTGTAGTGTGGTGTAGTGGGGTGTAGTGCGGTGTAATTATTTAAGGTAGTTAAGTGAGTTAAGTTAGTTAAGCTAGTTAGTGTCCACTTTTTCGACTTCTGAACGTCAAAAAGTGGTCCGAACTCTCAGCTTTTTACACTTTTGACTTGGACCTCCAGAGTATTTCGATGTGAACCATCAAAAAGCACTAGATCGTCGAACGCTCTGGTTGCACATCCCTGACAAAGTCTTCGAGACGAAGCACCAGGTGCCGGGTGATAGGGAGTAAAACATCTTCTCTCTTCTGACTTTCTCCCTCTTTGATCTTCTCCATCTCTTATCTTCTCCTCTCTGACTCTTCCCACCTCTGCCTTTCCATCTCTCCATATTGTCGGAAGTTTGACTTCTAAACTTCCTTCGATAATGCGTAGAATACATATTGTATATAGTGTATATATGGAATATATACTTATGATATATGCAAATAATAAAGTATATTGATCTGGATATATACATTTGGGCACAAAACCAACACTGTTTTGTATACAAAGCCCCCCTAGATCCGGCAGGTTGTCTCGTGGGACAGTCCATGGCTCTCTGTCATGCTGGAGCGCCAACATCACGGACACATACTTGAAAAGCAAGAGACTTGGCCAAGATGCCCGATCATACCCTCAAGAACCAGCAGTAAGGCAGTAAGGTACCTTTATCATCTCTCCTTGGTGTTTGGGGTGGACATCCTGCGTGGGGTTGGTTGAGATCTGTTGGTGCACTGTCCTCGCAACAGAAATCATTATACTTAGGTGAAATGACTTAGGAATAGTGGCTCGTACCCCAACATGCAATGGCCTATATGTTACCGAAGGAAATCAACAATGTGAAGAACCAAAAATCTGTTGTGCAAAATTTGGGTGTATGTCGGATTTCCCCAAGAAGTTCTGGGTGTTTGCATTGGAGATCGCGCTCCTTTGGTGTTGAGGTGTTGATTCATGCCCCTGAAAGCTGCAGCGGCGCTGCTTTGAGTGGCCAGCTTCATTTGGTGCTTTGCGCGCGGCTGCAGCGGCTGTGCAGACAGGACACGGCGCATGGGTATCCATGTGTCATCATATAATAGTTGGGTTCTCTCGATCATCTCCCCAGAGGAACCTTGGTGGTTGCATTCAAGTTTAACATTGGGTTGGCTGTGATCCGGCGACGCAATGTCGCAAGATCTTACAACCAAACGTCATGAAAGCTAGGGGTGCTTTGTTAGACATTAACCTTCATACCATCACCATGATGAACAACATTAAATGATTTGGTGCAGATATCGGTACGTATGACATATCTCCTCAGAAACAACCTTGGGAAAGCCGGAGGCGGTTGCTGGTTCAAATGCCGGACATAGATCCGGCGGTGAGAGGCAGTGCTACTGAAAACCACAAGCATTGAGCGCCATCTCTCAAGGCCGTCAGCTAAATCAACCATGATATATTGGATGAGCCCACCATGGAGCTGGGATATTTTCGTGGCCATCCCAATCTCATTTTTTGTACAACATGCAGAGTACTTGACAACTCTCTGGTAGGAGGACTACTTGGCGCTTTTGTGGTGTCATTTTGCGTGGGAGGGGCAGTGCGTGATGCTGCCTTTGGCTTTGTTTGTCTTATTTTTTCGTGGCAGTCAACTCTCTCATATGCTTTACATGGCAGGCGCAATATTTGATGAACCTCTAGTTCCATTTTACGTGGCAGGAGCAGTATTTGGTGAACTTCTACTTCGATTTTTCGTGGCAGGCGCAGTATTTGGTGAACTTCTACTTCGATTTTTCGTGGCAGGCGCAGTAGTTGGGGAACCTCTAGTTCCAGTTTTCGTGGCAGCCGCAGTATTTGGTGAACCTCTAGTTCGATTTTTCGTGGCAGGCGCAATATTTGGTGAGCCTCTAGTTCGATTGTTCGTGGCAAGGGCAATATTTGGTGAACCTCTAGTTCATTTTTTCGTGGCAGGCGTGATATTTGGACAACCTCAAGTTCCATTTTTTGTGGCAGGCGCAGTATTTGGTGAACTTCAGGTCCATGTTTTGTGGCGGGCGCAAGGAATCTGAAGCTCCAGGTTGCCAAACGTGTGGGGAAACGCTAAATCGTAACGTTGGATTCCAACGTTACCTTCAATTTCTGGCGACAGCTTCGCAAAAAACCTAAAATCGTAACGTTGGATCGCGGCAAAAAAGGAAACATTGTTAATTCTCTTTGAAACGCGTTCCAACGTTATGATTTTAGGTTTTTCGTGGAACTCTCGCCGAAAACGGATCATAACGTTGGAATCCAACGTTACGATTTGCGTTTTCGCTTAGGAGGTGTTGCAAGTGGGTTCCATTTTTCGTGGCAGGCGCAGTATTTGGTGAACCTCTAGTTCGATTTTTCATGGCAGGCGCAGTATTTGGAGAACCTGTAGTTCGATTCTTCGTGGCAAGCGCAGTATTTAGTGAACCTCTAGTTCAGTTTTTTGTGGCAGGCGCAGTATTTGGTGATTCTTAGGTTTCACATGCAGGAGGGAGAGTGCTAGGTGATTTTACAATGGACATGTGGCATCAACCTCGCCGCTTTTTGGGGCCATGTCAAGCTCTTCTAACTCCGGCTCTGGCAGCTCTGGTTCCTCTGAACAGGATAAACCATGTGTGACCCTGGAGAACTCTGAGACATCCTCTGAAGCTGAAGTCGCCTCAGCGAAAGCTCGGGCACGGGCAGGGATGTTCACATGGCCGTGTCCACGCCATTTTCATGCAGAGTTGTCAGAGCGCCAATCCGCGAGAGTCCTCAAGCCTGCTGATGTTTCTCGAGAAGACTTCTTGGAAACTTTCAAAACTGTGCTACGTCGCAAGGGCTATCTCCACAACCTCGTTAAGGCAGCAGTGGCAGACGAGCCGCACAAGCATTACCAAGCAGATGGGAACGCAAGAGAAAGGCACAAACATTTGATTTTCTTGTTTCGACAACCTTTCGTACATGCTAGTGTCTGCAAGATGTTGGGTGAGCAGTTTGGCGCCCACGGGTTTTTTACCTTTCACCGAGCGGGCTGGGTGGCCTACTTGGATTATTTGATGAGCGAGAGTGCAAAGAAGCCGGCCCAGGACTTGGATCGTCAAATGGTGTTTTACCCAGCAGCATACACTTGGCAAAGAGCCGAAGCTGAGCTTGGTCAGATGTCTTTGCAGATGTCAGGTTGACGCCAAAATGATGGCGTGCAGCAGCGCAAAGAACCTGCGCCCAAGCGCCGCAAACAGATGACTTTCAGTGAGCTGACGGACTTTGTCGTTGAGCGCGGTATCCGTGCTGTGGGCGCACTTTGGCAGGCTGGATTTGCGGCACTCAAGTGTCTTTATCACGGATTTTGGATTCTCTGTATCATGCAAGGACTACTTTCTGCAATAAAAGCAGCCTAACCTTGCCATTGCTGTAATCGGCTGACACTTGTTTCATTCTGGCCCAAAGTTTCACAAACTATCGAAGTTTCTATTTTTTGGCACCCCATCCTGCAGCCAGGAAGCCAAAGAGGAGAAAAAGGCCGGCAACCCATTGATTTGGAACCATTTGGGGTCCTTGCGAGATGTCAACTCAGAGTTGCAGAAGATCTTGGGTGCGTGGCACCGTCCAGAAACGTTGGGTGCTACAACTCTGGTGTCCACACCCACATTTGCGTTGACCCAATTTGTTTTGCCACCGCCTGTGCAAGAGTGGATGCAAACCGGTTACTCCAAAGTTGCTTTGATTTTACAAGGCCCGCCCGGAACCGGGAAAACAGAAATGGCCCTCAGCATTCTCTTGAGCTTGTGCCCTGCTGGGGTACATTTCCTGTCAAAATTGGACCAAGTCAGGAAGATCACCATCAATGGTGGACAAGGACTACTGGTTGATGAATGCACCTTCCGCAACATTGACATCGACGACGCGAAAGCTTGGACCGACCTTGTCCACCCTCGAGACGTTCGAGCTAGGAATCAAGACGGTCACATTCCCAGTGCTGTGCCGAGGATATTCACAACAAATCATCACATAGGTCAATTTTGGCCTCCAGAGTATTTCGATGTGAACCATCAACAAGCACTAGATCGTCGCACGCTCTGGTTACACATCCCTGACAAAGTCTTCGAGACGAAGCACCAGGTGCCAGGTGATAGGGAGTAAAACATAACGTTGCAAAAGCCCATTCAGGGGAGGCCGAGAGGCCAACGATCCAGTGCAGTCATCCAGTATTTAGGGAGGCCGACGATCCAGTGCAGTCATCCAGTATTTAGGGTGTCTCCCTTGAATGGCCTTACCCAACGTTTTGTCATTGAGTGCTGTTTTTTTGCCTGGAACGGTTGTGTGCCTCCCTTGAATGGACTTACCCAACGTTTTGTTTTTGAATCGTGGTTTTGCTCTGAATGGTTGCATATTAGAGGTGGTTTCTGCTTCAAACTCCCTTGAACAAATAGCCTGATCCAAGATTTTTAGCCGCATCTTCAGGACGTAGTACCCTATCCTATCCTGTAAACTCCACTCCATCATTGATATGCATACTGGAAAAAGTGGTCCATCTGCTTGCATGCGCAGGCTACAGTTGCAGCTCCAGGTTTCAAAGCGGGCTTGGCCTTGGGTGACAGCAAGGTTGCAGAGCCCAACACAACGCTGCTTTCTACTCCGGCTCCAGACATTGATTCAGTTGCTCAGCTTGACGAGGAAGAGCTCAATGACATGATGGAAGCTTCCAAAGGCTTCTTCGGGGAATGAACGCTGGGGAATAGCTCTTGGATCAAAAACGCGCTGTGAGGAACTCTGTTTCAGAGGGCCTTTCCCCATTCAGATTTTATTGGCAAGGGTCTGGTGATGTCTGGTGCGTGGCTTATCGCAATCCAACAATGTTTGGGCTACAACTGTGATATGTGTTGATTGCTTGATGGGTTTGCATAGCAGAAATCTGTTTGGACGGTGATTCTGTTGGTGGGGGATTGGTGGGTGTCTTTACACACTCACATGTCATCTGCATTGGCCTTTAAAGCTTGCCACCTTCCAAAAATTTGAGGCTAAGATTGACACACCTTGGTTGGCAGGTTTAGCGTTCATGGCACCAAAACTTTTTGGAACATGGGTGATGCTCCTGCACGGGGATGTCCAAACCAATGAGATTTGCTCCAATTCAGGAGCCGGCGGCCGCTGCCACGCACTGTGGAATTTACAGGGACAAAAAATGAGCCCATTTTTGCAGCTGCGGTCCAGCTTCCCGGCCATGGGCCCCGCTTGTATATGTATATATGTATATATGTAAATATGTATATATGTATATATGTATATATGTATATATGTATAGATGTATATATGTATATATGTATATATGTATATATGTATAGGTATATATGTATATATGTATATATGTATATGTGTATATATGTATATATGTATATATGTATATATGTAAATATGTATATATGTACATATGTATTTATGTGTATGTAACATGCATATGCACACATATTGCACATGTGTATTCATTATTATTTGTTAATTCGATCACCACGAGGTTTTAACCAGACCTGGACTGCCGTGGGCCCACAGACCGAAATGACACGCCAAGGTCGTGGAACGCTGCTCTTCTTCCTCCTGGTCAGCAGCAGCCGTGACGATGCAGGGGTGCGCCCTGGTGGGGGCGGGGGTTTGGTAGTCCATATCCAGCATGACCAGCAAAAATCAGGATTTGGCCTATGGAAAATTCGGATTCAATAAGAAATCGGGACTAAATCCATTAAAAATCAATATTTCACCAGGAAAAATTGGGATTACATTCGGATTGAAACCATGAAACATGGGATTAACGGCAGTTATCATAAACATGAGGATTAACCTCCAATTAGCAACGGGATCATTGGGACATGAGGTGGATATCTTTGGAATAGAACCCACAAGATGATTAATCGATCGATTGGCTTAAAACCCTATGTTTGGAAAAATCAGATTCTAGGGAAAAACATCAGGACAACATGGTGTTTTTTTTCCTATATCAAATATAGGGGGGTTGCTGTAAATTTCCCAGCAATTCTGGGAATAGTGGTCCCCAATCTGGGCCGATACAGAGGGACCTCATCCGTCGACCTCGCACATTTTTTTCGTGATAGATGGAAGAAGTGGGTTTCTCGAACAAAGTTGTTGGGGTGGAACATAAGTTTTCCTTTTGTGTCCACCTGGCCTGTGGACTCAAGAGAAAATTTTGTTATATTCCTTTCTCTTGAAGGGATGTTCATGTTATTTCCAATCTATTTTTTGCAAAGAAAAACAAATGGCCATGACCTGCTGAGGTCGTAAGTTGTCCTTGGCAATCTGCTTTGATCATGCCAGGTGGAGGCGAACACATGAGGACGCCCATATTTTGTGCCACCTGGAATCTGGTGGTTCACAAGGCCAGGAATCCAGTCAGATGGAAAATTGCAGTGCTTCCAAGGAGCGTTTCTTGTACGTGTTGGGAAGGTGGCCCATCATTGGATATTGAGGGTGTTTGATGTGAAGCATTTGTTCCAGCATCCACCAGGTACCATTGAAGTCCAGCCTCAAGATTTCCAAGATTCATATTCTTACTGTAACTAGTAGACAGTACAATTGGCCATGAGTATGCTTTCACCAGAAAATGCTGTCTGTCAGGCTCTTCCGGGGTCTTTGCTGTCTTGGATGGCCGCATGCTCAAGTGCACATGCGGTTGTCTCAAAATTTGGCACCCCATTCCATCCCATTTGTAAAAATCATCTCAAACATTCCCTATTTGATCCAATTTGGGTTACCCTCTGGTAAATTAACATAGCTATTGAAAATGGCCATTTGTAGTGGATTTTCCCATTAAAAATTGTGATTTTCCATAGCTATGTTAAATTACCAGAGGGTTATCCTCTGAGACAAACATTTTCCGAGCGTCATAAAATTCTTGGAGTGCCCGCATTGCAGCCATGCCACTGCGCCTGTGGCAACGGCCCATCCAAGTAGGGTGCGTGCTCAAGTACGTGTCCTTTTTTCCTTCTCCTGTTGGTATCCCGTTTGCAATCACATATTTGTATTTGATTGATACTTGTAATGTTTTCAGTCTTTTTTAATATCACATTCTTATTTTCAGTTTGCTTTTGTCCCATTGATCATCCCACCATACATCCATGAAATATTGCCAGTTTGATCCATTTTCGATAGGTTATAGTGCGGGCAACCCAATGCCATAAACCTACCATTTGGGGATGGTTTACACCTTCCCACGCATAAAAATGGTGATGACTTGGGGATGGTAAACATGGCATTGGGTTTACCGCATTATTGGTACTGGAATGGCTGCATTGGAAGATGGCAGCTCCACCTGCAGTAGCGATGCTATTCGGGGTCGCGCCATTTGCCAGAATCAGCGATTTTGCGGCCAGGCTGCGCCATCTACCGTAGCTATTTATTTATTTTTTTTATTATTTTATTTATTTATTTATTTATTTTGTTTTTTTTGCGCCATCTATTTTCAGGGCGGTGTATTTTATTAGATGATAGTGGCTAGAGTAGCCGCTGGAGTCATTATCCTATTGTTACAGACTATCAGATAGTCCTAGCAATAGGAATCATGATCATAATAAACAATAAATAATAATAGTCAGTGAGTACAATTATCATATAAACCACCCATGACTGGGAATGATTTAGAGCACCGAACTTAGTCAGTGTGTTTTACTACCACAGTCCTCCTCCGAGGCCATGGTGGCAGCTCCGCGGCTTGCGGGGGTGCCGCCTTCCTGGAGGATTTTGGATGGAATTTTTCATGGGATTCCACTGATTTCACCCATGAATAGCTAGTGAGTTAGCTAGGGGTTCACATGAGGATTTCTCGCCATAACACTGGGGATTTAACCAGCCAACTCTTGATGGGATTGAAAACCATGAACATGTGAGAGAACTAACCAGGAAAACATGAGGATTTAAGCTGAACAAATTGAATCACTATTGGATTATTGATGATTCTCGATTATTATTGGATTGGATTTTACTTTTCGAGTTGTTTTTTGTTTACTATTTTGCGCCGAAGTACACCGATGAGATTTCTGTGGGTTACTGTCATAAACCACGGTGATTGGGATGCAGAGAGTTGAAGGCGTAGAAAAAAACTGAAACCTCCTGTGATGGGAAGAACGACCAATGGTTTCCTCGCAATTTTCCCTTCAGATCATGATGGTTCGTTGGTTAAATCAGTTAAATCCCAAGTTTTAGATGGTTCAAATAGCTCAAATCGCTCGGATCTAATCATGCCATCCATTGAAGACCTCCTTTGGATGTTCTGCAGGAGGCGCTGAAGCAAGTGACTCTCAGTGGCAAGACGCCCTCAGAGGCGACCAGATTGCTGCAGGACCGAAGTGGTGATTTTCATTGATTTCAAATGATTTTGAAAGAGTAAACTGAATAAACCATGGAATATATGGAATTGGTGATCTATTTTGGTGGCTTTCCAGTTTTTTGACAGGCCCAGGTCTGTTTGAGGTCTTGGCCAGGAACTTTGTTTGAGAAAGACTTCAAAAAGCGACGAAGGCCTCCAATTGTACCTTTAACACGAAAAGTGAAAAAAAAATCCGTAGGTTTTGAGGATTCTCAGGTTGACACAAAGGCGCTTGTCTTTCCGTGTGAGGAAACCTTCATTGACTGCGACACGCGTTTGCGAAGTCACCTTGGGACTGAGGAGCTCGGACCGGAAAGGGCCGGAAAGGGCTGGAAGTGAATCCAAGGATCCCAACCGCCAACCATCTGCAACCATCTGCACGCTGGATCATTCTGCACCCATTCTGCACCCATAATACCAATATCTTTGGTGATCACATTTTTGGTCTCCGAAACTACGAGCCAAAACTGGTTGATGTTTGCTGTTCGAGGCATCAAGATAGGAGCAGTTGGAATGGATAGACGAAACCTGCGGAATCCACAATGAGATCTGCTGTGGCAATCTTGCTGGGCAATTGAAGAATCAACCATTTGCAGATAATGTGTGTCAAATTCCTTTGCAGAAACATCATACTGATTTATTTGGAGGATTCAAAAGCACTTTCTCAACCAGCTTTGATGTCTCGTCCCCAACAGTGCAGCTGTAACCCCACTTCGCAGCCATTTCAACTGAGGATTCAGCTCTCCAAAAATTGGGGGGTCAGAAATCAAAACCAAGTGTTCGCACTTTTTTTTGTCAGATTCTTCATGCAAGCACCAGCATTATGAATATTTATGAATGTAGCAAAGATATTTCCTGGGTTTCTGATTCCCTTGGCCTTTTATGGTTGCCATGACTCCAGGGATTTGGATGTCTGGCCGCCATGGCCGCCTGTGAGGACCGCAGTGGCAGTACGGTGGTGGCCTGCATCGTGAACCCCTCGAACCGGAGCAACGAGTGCGCAGCGCAGCTTGTGGCTTGTGGTGCATCCCGATGGAAAGTGGCCAAGCCAGCAATCTACTGTAACTGGCTTCATGGTTATTCTGAATCTCGTTGTTATCCACTAATCTTACTGGTCTTACTGCAACTTGGATCATCCAAGTATCAGATGTTGATAGCTTTGAGGAATCCCTGACTACTCTTCCCTGGTCAAACATGGGAATTCCCTGGAAATCCCCAAAGGAAATGGAGATATTGATGGGAAACATCTCTAAATGGGCGATTTTCTACTACTATGTTTGATTGCCATAGGTAACTGGGGTGTTGATGTATGTGCCATCAAGTTACATGGTTTGTGTTTCTATAAAAGGGGATGGTCATCCCCATCAAATATAATACAGGTTAATGTACCCATTATGTTTGGATTCCCATTACGGGACTGGTGACCACACCCCATGCATCCGTGAGACGAGCCTATTTGGGACTTAACCAGGGCTATGAACCACTGGGATAAACATACCAGTGCAGTTGATAAATGGTTGGACTGGTTACCAGTTGGGAAATAATCCATTGATCTAACCCTGGTATATCCCACTAATCTAACTGGGTTATATCATATGATCTTTCTCAATTACTCTGTGCAACTCCGGTGCACCGTCCAATAACTTTGCGGCCAGCACTTGTGCTATGCCCCCCCCTGTCTTTCGATGATTGTGGGAACCCGAATTTTGTTGGTGACCCTTACAGTACTTTGTGGCTTTCTGGCATTTGAGGATCTAATAACTAGATGGCTCTGGGTTTGCGAAGCCAGAGACATTGATGACCTTCTGCGGTGAACCTGCTGCCCCCCAAACTGATTTTTGTCACTTTTGACATCAACCCAAAAAAAACCCTAGAACAATACTAAATTGACCCTAAAGAAACCCTAAATGAACTCTAGAGAAAACCTAAAGAAACACTGAAAAAAACGCATGAAAGTGTATATAGTGAAGTGCCTGTGGGGCGTAGCACACTTGCTACGAGTAACTTTGGTGTAGCACGACTTGACCCAAAACCATATGACGCCGTGCTGTCCAGGTACACGGTACAACTGGCTCACGCCGGTGATTCGAGGGCAGTTCTGAGCCGAGGTTCCAAACCGTGTTTGGATGGGAGATATGGGAGCCAAACTGCAGCAGCGAGATTTGGGGGCTCAACATGGGTTAACCATGGTTAACCAATCATCAAATCAGGTTATTATTAACCATCATTAACCATATATAATAACCATAGATTAACCATAGATTAACCATACAAACCAGAGAATATTGATGGTTGAATCATGTCACGAATCCTTATTTTTTCGTGTCAGAATATTGGGGTCACTGGCTCGGATGGCTCGGAGCATCGGCGCGATTCGGCGCGTTAAGGCGCATCGGCGCATGTCTCACGACTTAGGACCTAAAGCTGTGAAGTTGGGGGAACATACCCTATTTACTGCATTTATATTTGTTTATGGCTTGTAAAATCATGTTCCCTTTCGAAATTGGCATCCTTTGGGTATTTTTGCCATTTTCGGTGAACAAACCCACACATTCTTGTCAGACTCTGCAAGCCTCAGGGAGTCGCTTGTATTCCTCCAAGGACGCCGCGGTCTGTGGACTTGGTGCAATGGATACGGAATGTCAAGCCTGGATTAAGAAAGTTGGAATAATGATGATCATTCAATGGATTTGGGGGTACCGTAGAAAGCGCCTATCTCATGAAACGGGAAATGCTGGTTAAGAGTTTCTTGAGGTATTTTCAGAAAGAAATAATCCACTATAATCCCACTATATTAGCTAGTATATATAAAACACCCAATGCCTAATGTCCCAATGTAACCAACTGCCTCATCTTGACCGATGATTGATGAACCACCCCGGGGGAGTCATGGCAGACTCTGGATTTATGATTCAAAATTCATCAAAATCCTAGTTTTCGCTTATTAAATAACTACTACATATCACATCTAATCAGTGATCAACATCCACAAACATGAAGCATGGCGATTTTGGTGGATTTTTCTCTTTATTTTTGGTATTTTGCAGCCAGTTTCCACCAGTTCTCAGCACCTGTTCCAGGACCACAAACCCAACCGAGAAGACGAGACCCGCCGCATCGAAGCTGCTGGAGGGTACGCGGAGAGATGGGGCAAACTTGAGTGACCTCACACTGTTTTTTTTTTTTCGTAGAGAGCAACAATGGTCACCCGGGAACCGAACTGGGATGAGGGGCGAACTGGGATGAATGCCTGTCTATTCTCGGAGCGGTTCGGGCCGCGGTTCGGGCCTTTGGTTTTGACCAGGCCCCAACAATATTCTGAAATGGGGGCTATGTGATCTCAACAGTCTCAACAGATAGTGTTTTCTTGTGGAGATTGTTGGGCCCCCAAATACCAAAGTGTGGTCTATTCAAGACAGAAGCTGACGGCCCGTTTGACTCATGAAGTTCCAGCTACAGAAGTACAGGATACTGCGTCCCGGTTTTTGATGCTTCGTATCTGCAGGGGTGGATAGACTCTCATGTTCTAGTGGCTGCGCAAGTGATTGCATCTTCATTTGCTTCTACCATCCTCGCTAGATTTCGATCGTTGAATCTTCTGTTGTTGAATGGATCGCATGATTTACCTATATGAGTGGAGTGATAGCATCGGCAATGAGGCAGCTCTGCAGTTCTTCCAGCCTTCTGATTCCAGCAATTCCACAGCAGGTCCGTCTCTCAAGGACCTCTGGGTGGTGGCCCCATGAGAGTGGACGGTGCTTTGGTACGGAGTCCTAGTGCGATTCTGCTGTTCTTTGCTGGCCTTCCCTCTACTTCTGCTTTCTGCCCATTGATTTCGGTCATTTCTAGTCTTGACCATCCGAATTTCTAGGGTAGCGTTTGGCGCAGATCAGTATGCGCTATTCAGTCGGTGGGTATTCCACTCACTTTTAACGCAAAGTCTCTCTAGCGAATCAGCAGGGGGTTCTTCTCAGGTGTTGAGACTCAGTTGAGACTGCCTGCTTTGACCCATACAAATACCATCAAATACCCATATTGGTGTTATGGTGGTCATTGAAGGCTTTCAACTTTCAACCCCCAAGCATGGCCATTTAATGATGGGTGTTAATCAGGAGAGAAGGCCCAAGAGTAATAGTCCTAGTTGCAATTTACGAATTCAACCCTGTCGATTTCAAGCAGGTTTTCCGAAGTTTCAATCTGATTTTTTCCCAAACCGTGTGTCCACACTGAGGGGTTCTTACGGTAGCTGTAAAGGCGGGTGCCTGATCAGGGTGCTCACTCTGGGCCCCCGCATTTTTCCTGTAAATTTCCGCATGAAGTGCCCCTCGTGATATTTTGACATGCGTTTCGACTGTGCGCTCGCACAAAGTGTGGTCCTAAGTCTTGGAATCGGTCCTCCTCCTCAACATCCTCCTCCTCAACATCATCATCCTCCACCTCATCTTTCGCAACGTCATCCTCCTCCACCTCATCTTCTGCAGCAGTCTCATCCTTTTCATCATTCTCCTCAACATCCTCAACATCATGATCTTCCTCCTTCCCACTTCTCAACATCATCATCCTGCACCTTGTCCTCCTCCACTTCATCTTCCGCATTATCATCCTCATCTTCTCCTTCCTCAACATCATAATCCTCCACATCACCATCCTCCACATCATCCTCACCCTCTTCAGCATCATCATCCTCATCCTCATCCTCCTCCACTTCATCATCCTCCACATCATCATCCTCCACATCATCCTCAACATCATCATCCTTAACACCATCATCATCATCATCATCATCATCATCATCATCATCATCACCATCATCATCATCATCATCAACATCAACAACATCAACGTCATCATACATTATCATACATTTTCTTCTGACGCCCCCACACTGTTTGGGGTCTCTTGCCGGGATAATTTTTGTTGATGCATTTGATTCATGATGATTATCCCAACTATTTGCAAACGGTTTTGCTGACGTTTCCCCTCGTTGCGAGGCCGTGAGTAGGGCCATGGGAGACTTTCACTTCAAACCCCATGGCATGGAACCTTCCAAGTGCAAGGTGCAGCCATAGATCTGGGATACAACTGGAGGGATGGGTGATTTTACTTGCCAAAATCACTGAGAGATGGTTCTATGAGATTTCAGGTGGTTTTTGAGCTTGGTAAGTGGCAGATTTCACCAAATTCAGTGGGAAATGTCATGGGCCAATGGGATTGGAGTCCGGGCTGTTCTTAGGTTAAAAATTTTGAAGATGTACTGCGGTAAGACCAATGGGAAACCAAATTCCCTACAGTTTCTGGAAAAACACAAATTGTAAAGTTGGGTGTGCTTCATTATTGCTTTACATTGCGTACACCTAGGGTTTTTGGGTTTCCAACCGATCATGTGGGACCCAAAAATGGTGTGCGGGTCCTTTGTCCAGAATGGAGCACGCTTTTTGGGTGGGATTCGGTGTCACACTTGTTTCAGTCACAGAATTTCAACCAATGTGCAAGTCGTGGATCGGGTTGGTGGTTTGGATTCCTAAAGTAGCTATCTTGTCAGCATTCCCTTCATCAATGGGTTTCTGGGATTCCACATCACCGACCAAAACCGACAGTTCCAAGTACTTGAACATCTGACCACACAAAATGGTTGTTCATGAAAATGGTCCTCAATTCCGATGATCATCATTTGTCATTTTCCCATAGTTTTCTTATTGAAATTGCACTAATTTCGGCCTAAATGCCACCATTAATCGTTTCCCAGATGGGCTTGGCTGTGTAGTTACCACCGCAGGTCTCGGTGGTTCCGGAAGTTCAGACCATTGAGGGCTGTTCATCCGGTGGGGAGCTGAGATCTGCTGGGATCTGCTTGGAGTTTTGGAAGATCTATCATTGTTGGGATTTGCGATGTCGGAATTGGAATAGATAATAATTATGACGTTCAAGCTGAACCAATTCTTGAGAAAGGATGTTCTGTATTTTCAATAGGCATTTTACAAGTACAGACTATTACAGATATACAACATAAGGTAGGTTGTATCCCCTCTTGTTGGATGTGGCCATGGCTCAAGCTGATTCGCCCGGAAATTGTCAGTTTCCTCACCAAAAATGGCCCAATGTGTGGCTTGCTTGGTACGCATTGTTTGGCCTGGGCCATATATGGCTGTGGGTCAAAACCATTCAAATACACCCAAAATCGCGGGCAAGTGGATGTTCATCCTCGCAAATACGGTATGATAGGTAATCGGTATGACAATATGAATTATATCATATGGGGTACCTATCATATTGTCATATCCACATATATTATCCACATATATTATCCACATATATTATCCACATATATTATCCACATATATTATCCACATATATTATCCACATATATTATCCACATATATTATCCACATATATTATCCACATATATTATCCACATATATTATCCACATATATTACCATATATACAATATTATCCACACCCATCCCTATATCACTTTACAGTGCGACTGGTAGTTCCATCCCTCCATCAATATGCACCTGCAGGCGACTGGATCCTCCTCGCCTGCGATGGTATCTTTGATGTCATGGAGAACGAGGAGGCCATGAAGATTGGGACGTGCTGGACAGGGGTTCCCCAAAAGGGTCGGAAAATACGACCCATCGAATTGGTAGGATTTTTGCGAATCAATAACTTTTTCAGTGGATTTTGGGGAAAAGCCTTTTTTAAGCAGTCCCCAAATAGAGAAAAGGGGCACCCACGGGGCACCCCAACTAACATCCTAAGGATTCCCAAGGATCGCTTGGTCAGGTCCGGGACTTCGTGGAAGATCATCCTGCTAGAGCCAATGGCTCACAGGTGGATGGCGGACAGGTTGGCTGCTGGACGTTCTTTTTTGCATCTCCCGAGTTTCGATGATTTCGATGACAGTTACGATGACTTAATCAGGACAGTTCCAGCATGGTTTGGAACCTATTTATCCAGTTTTTGGTCAGGATGAGTTTTCCGGCCCAGTTGGCGCAGTTGTTCTACATGTGATTTGTGGAGATTCTGGCAAAGAACTCTCTGGTTCAACGTTTTTCTCCAACTACCATTCAGAAAGTCACACCAACAAACAGAAAAAAGTTGGTCAAGATGTCCAAACCGTGGCACATGGAGATTCCCTCAAAACGTCAACCAGCCAGTTTCTACAAACCAACCAATTACCCTCTGGTAAACTAACATAGCTATGGAAAATCACCATTTTTAAGGGGAAAATCCACTATAAATGGCCATTTTCAATAGCCATGTTAAATTACCAGAGGGTAACCAATTTCTGTTGCTTTTTGTTGGGCCCAACTTGGCAGATCTGCGTAGACCTGTTGAAGCTTTGCCTCGACAAGGGCAGCAAGGTGGCCCTTGGGTGGGAGACGGTTGTAAAACGACTTGGATGGGGATATCTTTACAAGTGGATGGCTCACCAGGAATTATACGGACTTGAGTTGGGCGAAAAGTATGAGCGATATTCCTTGATGAATTTTTATAACTGGTATAATTTGCTCGTTCCTCAGATTTGTTTGAAATTGTCCAGCAAAGGGTCTAGAGTCTAAAGCATGCTTTCTTTGTTGCCCAGGACAATTGCACCGCTTGCTTTGTGCAATTCGGCGATGGCCCTGCCAGGAGCGGCAGGGCGAGGTACAGAAAAGAAGACCTTGAAAGAGGTCTAAGAAATCAAAACTCAGGGGCTAAATGTATTTGATGTCAAGATATATCAAGATATATCAAGATATATGTTATATATATAATTATATTGTAACTGGTAGAGCTCCCTCTGATAAAACCAAGACCACGTCCAAATGGGAATCACAGCTGTTAAATGGATGTCCTCACCCTTTCCACACCTGATTGTCCCACAGCGAAACAGTCTCTTGTTTTGGCCTGCACAAACGTATCCTGCAGAGGTTTCGAACTGCTGCTACCGACTGGACTGGCAAGTCCAAAGTGACCCTGTCACTCCCGTGCCCTATGGCTGCAAGGTATGAATACCCGCTACCACCCTCTCCAAGCTCCCTGAGCCACAATGCCTGGCGACATATAGGCTTTGGCTCTTGTTCCTGATTTGCACATGGATTGGCAATGGAGGATGCTGCATGGTGGAAAATCACACTCGTGAAAACCAAAATTTTACAGATTCAAACTCCTCATGCAGCATCGGGCGACACTGATTGCTCTAGCGGCGTCTTCAGCCATCTGAGTCGATCTTTTGATTTGGCTCGTTCTTTCAGAGTGGATTGTTCATCATAGATCCTATAACTGCCGAGTTTCAAAGTTTCTCTCAAAAAATGGGAGTCCATGGACTTGGTGAGTGCATCAGCTAGCTGTGCGCCGCTTGGAGCCCACCTTAAATGGGTACCCTCTTTGAGGAAGTCTTTGATGGCTCGTGCCATCAGTTGAACTCTGAATTCCGCACATTGCGGTGGGGCGGTCTTGGTGATCAGGTCATACAGGCTTTTGCAGTCCGTTATCGCCACATCTGAATCCAAGTGCTTTGTGGGAATAGTAATGGCTGGTGCCAATTTTTGAAGTGTCTTTTCAGGTTGTTTCCATTCTGTTGAAGGGTCATGTATCCAACTCCAAAATAATCGTAACCACGACAAATGGTCAAGCGTCGTTGAGAGTGCCATCGTTTCAGCTGCCAATGTACTGGTTACAACCTTTTGAATTTTGCGGCATCCCCAAGCTAATGGACTGATCGGACACCGCATGTTTTGGCTGATGTCCTGGTGGGTTCCTACAATGATGGATCCGGCATGGGAGTCAGGTTTAGATGGCGATGAGAATGATGCGTCGGAAAATGCAAGGAATCTGAAAGCTTTTGGTGGGATTGGTTTCAATTGAATTGTTACCTCGTGGTGTTTCTTTGCTTCATGGAGAACCCGGTTTCCTTCCATCAAAGTTTCCACCGTAGCCCGATTGATTGATGATTGTAAGAGTGAAAGTTTACTTGACAAATCTGGTCTGGTGTTGATTGCTGCGTATTGGAGGCTCCCCACCAATGCACGGAGTGCCAATCTCTCTTCTTCATTGACATGACTTTCAAGTTGCGTTTTGCGGTTGGCTTCAATCGGGATCGGCTTGATTTTGCGTACATAAGCTGATTGATTCATGGTAATGCTGTAGTCATGATGTTGTGTCATCTCAATTCCAGTGAATGTAAATGACGAAACCTTGTGAGATCCAAATGGAAACTTTGCCTCTAGTTGACGAATTTTGGCTTCGAAAATTTCACTGCCCCCTCCGATCCCATCATCAACATGAATTCCTAAGATTCCCTCTAGTCTTGCGGTTCCATCGTTTTCGTAGGATCTGAGGATCATCAGGCATGGGTCAAAAGGGCTTTGTTCAAATCCCAACTTCACAAGTTCGGATACCAGGGCACAGTACCATAGGTAAGGAGCTTCTATGAGCCCATATGCACTTTTGTTGAGGCGACAAACTTCCTGGGGTTTCATGCCTAGTGCTTTCCGGAGTTCTGGGACGGGGTCTATAGCTGTCACTCGGCCTGCTTGTGGTTGTCCCTGAAGAAATGCAGCCTTTATATCAAAACTTCGCATGGTCCAGTTGTGAGATGCAATTACTTGAAGGGCTATCATTCGAGAAGTCTTATTTAAGGTTGGGGAGTCACGAGGAATTTCTTCAATCCGTGGATCAAGGTATCCCAGTACCACTAACCTCGCCTTTGCTTTGTGGGTTCTCTCGGAAGTTTCCTTTAGGTCCGCTGTGTCTATGGGCTTCCAAGTTAGAATCCAACGACATCTCAAGATTTGCTCTTCGGGTATTTGATTTCTCAGTACCTTGCTGATGGTTCCTGTCTTGATCCAGTTCTGCACTTCACTTTCCTTGGCATCTTGGAATTCAGCTTTTTCGGTCGGTGTGAGCTCTGTTAGCTTGACCTCCGTTCGTTGTTTCTTTGCAGAAGTTGCTAGCAAAATCCATGATTCGGCCTCATCTGGTGTCTGATGAGTTGTGTTGATTCCAATGTCAAACTCAAACTCACATCGCCATGCTGCCGGTTCCATCACTTCGCACGTGAGGGCATTTTCTGGTTCTTGGCATGTGATTCGGATAACATCTTTGGAATTCTCTATTGTCATCATGTTGGGTTCGTCACCGTCCTGATCTCCTGAGTTGACTGGTATTTCATCTGAGGTTGCATTGTCTGGTTCCTGATCTGGTTGTGGAATTGAGTCATCTTGACTGTCTGTATCCGTGCTATTGTTATGGTGTTGATTGCTGGGTCCTGAGTCTGCATTATTGGTGATTTCATTTTCTTGACTATGGTCTGGTGGATTGTTATGGTTATCCTCGTTATCATGGTGGTTACTTATTTCTGGGGTTATGTCATCGCTGTCCATGGGATTATGAGCTTGGGATTGCATTCTTTGGATTTGTTGCATCATTGGGGTTATGTCAGGTGGTAATTCAGGACCTTCTGGGGATCCTTCTTCAGGAAATGCCTTTCGGGTGTTCTCTGGTGCACTACGGTGAATCTTTCCCCCCGAGGTACACCATACCGTGTATTGATCATCCTGAATGACTACTCGATGGGGTCCCTGCCATCTCGCTTGTTTTAGTGGGTTTTCTTTCCAAATCATCACCCAATCACCTTTGTCAAAACAGCCACGGCTTGGACATGAACGCCTAAGGGCAGCTCGGCGCAATGCGTCGCTGTTGTCAGCGACGTGGTATGCCTTCCGTGCTGTTTCTCTGACAGCCAGCATTTGACGAAAATTCTGACTGGATGGTGAATTTTCTTCCAAAGCATGTTCATGGGCAGGTCGGGATTCATCGCACAACACTGAGCCTGGCAGTCGTGATTGTTTCCCAAACACTATTATTTCGGGTGCATAACCATGTCTAATACTCGAGGTATTCTTTGCATGGGTAGCCTGATTCAAGGACATTTGGAGGGCATCATAGTCAGAAATTGGATGTTCCATGTCGATTTTATCCAACATACTTTGTAGAAATCCCCCATGTCTCTCTACTTTCCCGTTTTGCCAGTGGGCCTCTGGTGCTGTCGTGGTGTGACGAATGCTGAACCTTTGTACAAATTCTTCGAACTGAGCGCTGTTCATCTCGGTACCGGAATCGGTCACTAGCTCTTGAGGAGGACCTGCCCAGCTTATCCAGTGTTGGTTCATGACCTGGATTAGATCCTCTGTCGCTTTGGACGGTGCTGCAATGGCCACATGGTAGTTGGTTCCAGCATCAAGGATGTGATAAAAGTGATAACTCTTCCCCTTTTGATTGGTCCAAGTCACCCCATCTACGTATATCCGATGGTTGAAATCCAACATACTTTTCAACGTGGCTGGCCGGGAATGCTTTGGAGGCGCATTGGCAGCGCACACACGGCATTGAATTTCCTGAGCCGCTTGCACTACCGCGGGTCGTGATCCACTGATTTGGAGGGCTCTTGCAAGTCGGTCATTGGAAGGGTGTCCGAGATTCTTATGCATTCTCAGGATAGTCTGCTGTTCCCATCGGGGTAATTGCCTAAACCGGAGGCTTTGTTGTTGCATGACTGTGTCAGGGATACCTTCTTGATCCTGTTTTCCTTCTCGGTGGGTCATTTCATCAACCGACTTGGTGTCCCCATCTTGGGGAAGTCCGTTGCTACTCATGCAAGGCTTTTTCTCCGAATCACTTGCTGTGCTCGGGAGAGGGTCTCTGTTGGACTCTGGAACATCATCGCCAGGGGCCTCAGAGCCTGGTGCGGCATTCTCCTGTGCATTGGATTCCCTTGAATTGTCTCTGTTTTGGTCTGTCTGGGAATGGTCATGGTCCTTAGCAAATGCTGTGATGTTCAGTCGACTGGCATGCGCAGGGCGGGTCAACTGTCGTTTCGATAGGTGAATCCATCTTTCCCAGTTCTTTTCGTATTGGATGCTCCCATCTCTTCTCAGGATTAGGGCTTTCCTGTATGGAGCTTCATGTGGGTGCAAATTGGATGGTGGTGCCACAGTGCGTTCGGACCCCTTACAACCCATTACCCGTACTATTTCTTTGTCAGGAAATATGTTTCGAATTTGCTGCATTAAATCCCCATTGGTTATTTCCCGAGTACCTACTCTTGGAAACACAGCTGAGATTGCCTGGATGGCTTGTTGGCACATTTCCAGCGATGGCTCATTGCCTTGGTGACTTTTGGAACGTATCCTCTTGTCACCTGGTCCACGATGTGGTGTCGGACTGAGCAATTCGGATCTGGCAAACTGCGGTGGCTGTTTGACCTTTGAGGTTGCCGCAAATGCGTCATTCTCAGGGCTTGAAAAACAAATCATTCCTGGTTGCCAATTGAACGGCCATTGATGATTGGCTTTTACAAAAACCCTGGCTACCGCTCTGGCAAATTTCCGGGTATAGTTCTCGGTATATTCAGATCTCAATATCATGGGTCCCTTCTTGCACGGCCGGCACGATCCTTCAATCGGTTGGTGTTGATGCAATTGGTGACACAACATTCCATGAAAATGGTGATACAAATTGGCATGAGTGGTCAAAACAGTCATCCCCTTCTTCATGGGCATTTGTGACTCAGGGTCGACAAGACCACCAGCACGGCACATATCAAATTGGCAAGCCTGGGTGTGTTGGTGAACTTCGGCCAAGTTGGGGTTTTGAAACATGAGTGAACGTTGAGGTTGTTCCCAGTGAAAATGGTCTCCGTGCATGATTTGATGACGCTAAAGTGAGATTCCCAAGGCAATTTGATACATGAGTTCTTTGCGTTTCTTGGCATACTCTTGTTGGTGTGACAGGGATCGGGATTCGTTCAGTCTTGACCAGGATGACCATGGTCCACATGTGGGGCTATACCATAAGTGCTTTGGCCGGTGTCTGCCAACAAACTGGAAGAGAGCCGCTCTTCCCTGTACGGTTGATAGGTCACCATTCTGGTAACTGAACCTGAACGCAGATTTTCCCAACTGCTGCACCTGACGAGTCAGCTGTGAGTTTTCACCACACATAACTTCTCCTAGCAACCAACGGCTACCTAAGGCAGGAGTTTGTTGTAACACATTATGAAGTTCTTGGTCAAACTGGGATACTAGTTCATACAGCTGACGAGTTTCGGAGTGCATTGCTGTTAGGACTTCCTCACCCCAGTCCTCTCTCACTGTTCCTCTTCGGCATGGATCATCTGCTGCATCAGTGCTTGGTCCTCGATGTGTCGAATCACCCTGGACAGTGCATTCTCCATGTGCAGCATGCGATCTTGAATGGCCCTCATGTCCTCCTGAGTGTAGATGTTCGGGCCGGTCATAGTCAGCGAGGCATATGTCTCTGGTTCGATATCCCAATCGGCCTCCCCATCTGGCAAAGAGGTGTGATGAGGAGCCACTGGGCTGGCTTTGGCCTTTGCTTTGGCCTGTCCCCGCACGGTGGTCGGTGGGTTGGACCGTGGAGGGATGGCACTCTGCTGTTGCTCCATGGTCTCGACCTTCAACTCCACGTACCGCAAGTAGCGGCGATGACCCTCTTTCGTGCTTCTCTGATACCGGCTCACCATGAATTGGACCCATTCCTGATCCTGCCACGTGTCTTGGAAGTGACAACCCATGTACTTCTGTCCGAATGTCACTACTTCTTGATTCAGATCTTCCAAGGTCAGGTGCTCTAGGCTGGCCAACTCGGTGGTGTTGGTTGGTATCTGCAGGTTTCGAAGGCACTGGCTGAGAGACATGTTCTCTGAACCTAACGGACTTTCTTTTCACCTGTGGAACAGGGGCACTTTGAGCCGATGGAGGTTCTGCACATTCGGCGGTGTGTGGTTTCGGCGGTTGGTTCTCCAGTGATTCTGGCATCTTTGAGTCTTCAAACACAAGGGATTCATTCTGAGGTTTATTGGACCTGCTATTATCTACCTGTTGCCTGAGACATGTGTGATCACTCTTGGCTGTGATCGTGATCGGCTTTGGTTGACCCTTTTCGGACACCTCGTCGGACACAAAGGTCTCTGCAAAAGTCTGTGCACCAGTTGTTCGACTGGCTGATTTGTTGTCCTTTGCAGCTTGAATCAAACTATTGATGTCTATCAGAAAAAGACCCTTGGGTGTCAATTGGAGTTTCACAGGCGTATTGAACATCTTGCTGGACAACGTGTGCTTGGCGCAGTCTATGCTTGCTTCCATGACCCTCATGAGAGTGTTGCTCAGCAAAAAAGGAGTTCCTCCCGGTACAATCGCCACTTTCAACAACAACTTACCCAGTGGTATGACCAAAGCTTGTTTGCTAGAAAGAGTAGCTTCATTCCCAAACCGAAATGTGACATGGCATGGACAGCGGGTCAACTGCTTCTGCGTGTCGGCATCAAGGCTGCGAATTAATTCAGGCAAACATTCACTACCGATTACGGTCTTGGAAGCACCTAAATCCAGTATGCCATAAGAAGCATGGGTGGCAAAACACACTTGGCTTTCAGACAAATTGGGACTGGCGGATGCTTGTCTCGGAGCTTCCAAACTCACTTCGGATCTTGGACGGGCATTCCTTTGAATCCGGTCCATGGCAGTCATGGCGGTTGGTCTCAGGTGGTCATTCTTCCTGGGCAGGCTTGTACACTCCCGGACGTCTTGCATTTTGCATGAAAACCGGGCTTTTATTCTTTCATATGCCGTGGGATGTTTACCCTGCCTAACCATGTTATCCCCATTAGATTCCCCATGAATCATCCCTACATAACATGGACTGCTCACCCCTGACATGCTGTGACACGACAAAAAACTTGGCTGAGACTCATCTGACTTGGGCATGGTGAGCTCAGGCAACTGCACAAACTCCAGTGGCAGCATATCGTCTCCCTGGTCGGCAATCACTGTCGTGGTCGGCAAAGTGCCGGATGCTGATGAATGCGACATTCCGGAGGCTGAGGCTGTGGTGCTGGATTGTCTGAAAGGACATTCGGCCTTCCAGTGTCCCTTTTTGTTACATATCCTGCATGTGGAGTTCATGATTCGATCCTGCAAGCTGCGGCGAGGGCGATTGGACCATTGTCCCTTGCCTTTGCCACTGCCTTTGCTCTGAAACCCTTTTCCCTTAGAGTTCCCACTGGTATCCCTAGAGACAGGCCAAAACCCTCGGAACTTCGATTTGTCAGCAAGGCGTCGTCGAGCATCTTGATATGCTGTGTATGCCGATGCAAGGGCACTGTCCTCCTGCATCAGTTCTACTGCCGCTGATTCAAAATCAGCTATCACCGTAGCATCAGGGTCGCCTTCACTGAGCAAACAATCCAGGATTTCGTCTTCTCCCATCTCATCAGGGGCTGCTAGATGGGCTTCATCATCATAGTCTTCTTCGGCGACCAAAGTGGTCGACTCATACACCTTGTTCTTCACCTGCTTTTTGGCACCTGTCATCTCATTGAAAAACGTTGCACCAAGGATTCGGATGGCCTCAGAAACCTTAGCTACTGTCAATTGTCCTTCCAGTGATTGATCAGATTCCAAAATTACCTTCTTCTTCTCCTCAGGAGACAGCGATGATCCTCTCAAAAGGATGAACGCCTGTAGATCACTGAGTTGCAATTTTCTGGATAGCAACTTGCTCCAAGCCACATCTGCACGAGCCAAATATGAGTCGTTCGACTCGTCTGAGTGCTGTGTTGTATGGAACAAAGCTGTTTCAGCATCCTCGTACTGCTTCTCCAATCCAATTTTGCCCCAGTGTCCACCCAAGAGAGTGATGATTTTACGGACAGATTTTTCATCGTTCTCCATCAACTCGGCCTGATGTAATTGCAGTTTGTCGAATGCACTTCCCTGGCAGTTCAAGATTAACCTCATTACCAGTTCTGTGATTCTCGTTGGTGGCCATGCTGCAAGTACAAGCTCTACTCGTTTTTGATATGTCTGTAAATCATCCTTCGAAGGGTTGAATGAAGGAACCAATGTGGCCAACTGTGAGCCAACTCCGGTGCCGGTTCCTCCATCACCGTCTGATGTTGAAGTCATCTTTGAGGCACCCCCTGGAACTTCGGAGCTGGAGCCGGAGCTCCGCTACCAATGTAACTGGTAGAGCTCCCTCTGATAAAACCAAGACCACGTCCAAATGGGAATCACAGCTGTTAAATGGATGTCCTCACCCTTTCCACACCTGATTGTCCCACAGCGAAACAGTCTCTTGTTTTGGCCTGCACAAACGTATCCTGCAGAGGTTTCGAACTGCTGCTACCGACTGGACTGGCAAGTCCAAAGTGACCCTGTCACTCCCGTGCCCTATGGCTGCAAGGTATGAATACCCGCTACCACCCTCTCCAAGCTCCCTGAGCCACAATGCCTGGCGACATATAGGCTTTGGCTCTTGTTCCTGATTTGCACATGGATTGGCAATGGAGGATGCTGCATGGTGGAAAATCACATTATATATATATATGTTATATATATGAGTTTTCTCATGGAACATGATAAAGCGTTATTTGTAAGGCAGGTTTGAAGAGTGAATGTTCATGAACGTGCTGATCACTACATCATTTCGTCCCCGTTGTTTTAGCTTCAAGTGAAGCAAATCAGAGCAAGTGCTCTGATGGTCATGTGTCCATGTTCACGAACACAACATGTCACAGACACTTGACCTTGTTTATGTGTTTTCACTTTCAATTGTTTTGGAGTCAATACTCATATAACAAAACAATTACACAGTTTTGAATTTTCGTGTATCAAGTGTAGTATCTGTTCTTATCAGTGTGACAACTGATATGTCTCCAAGTGGAGACTTGCTTGTCACATCAATTTTTGCTGGGGAAGTGTCTTCACGAGCTTGCTCTGGAGCCTTCATGTGTTGCGCTGGCATGGCACTGAGCCAGTGGCAGCACACCCTATAAAGAAGGAATAGAAAAAGGGTGCTGTCGGCTTTAAAAGACCCAGTTGCCATCTGGATGAGGCGTCGTCTTTGCGAGCTGTCCGCTCCTCTGGAGCAGCACATGCTTGACAAGCACGGATCGTGGAGGTTCGACTCCTCCCTGGGTCGTTGTACGGGCCTACGTGCTAGGGATCCTGACCGGCGTCGTCCTCCTCATTTGGCTCCTCAGCGAAGCCTAATGGACATCAACGTGGAGCATCTTGCACAAGCGGAAGATCGCATCCACCCGCCGGGACATCTTCAATTCACGATCGCCTTCTCTTTGGACCAGTCCATTGACGACAGAGAGGCCCGCATCGAAGATGCTTTCGAGCACTTGGGCCTTCGCAGGCGCAACTTGGTGGACGTCCTGTATGTCATCAAGGTCCCACCAGCGATGTTGCTCTGCCCACCCATTGCCCACCTTCACCGGTACCTCGCCGACTTTTCTGATGAGATCGAGCCCGAGAGCCGCTACTTCTTCATCATCTTCTCCCGCCGTGTCTTCGCCCTGATCCAGCACTGCACGGCCGGGAGCGATATGTTGATCGACTTGGTGCAAGACGGCTCTAACCCCGAGCTTACTCGCTCGGTCCAGCTGATCGTCGAAATGTACCCAGCCACTGATCTCGTGGACATCTTCGGCAGAGTCTTTGACCAGGTCCAAAGGCAGGAGGAGCGCCTTCAACGCCTCCACACCGAGAATGCGCGATTGCGCAACCAACTCGGCACTGTCATGGAGTACCTCGCAGCTCGCGATCCTCATGCAGCACGCACCTTCGGGCTCTTGCTGCGAGACAACGAAGATTGAGGAGCTGCTTGCCTGACCTTGGCCGTGTTGGACCTCTTCCTGCTGCCGATCAACATCGATCTTTTTCAAGTCGACTTTTGGGCACGAGCCTGTCGACCAGCATTGACAGTGATATGCTGCTAAAATTGCTCTTTATGGGGGTTGTTCGCAGCAATTTTCACATGGATGAATTTATCTCTTCTGGTTTGCTCTCGAATTGATGTTTTTCTTTTTGAACTTAATCACTGAGTCAAATGACCGGCAACATGACAGTGACAAGCTTCACAATCATCACCACGGTGATCACTGATTTTCCCACTGGAGTGTGGCTCAAGTGAGCCCAGCCGCCGCCATTTTGGGGGGGCGCGAGGATCGAGTGATCCAACCCCAGTGAGGCCCTCATGTGTTTTGATACGAAGCATTCACATTCCGGACAAGTGTCCAATGAGTGCAGCATTTTACATGAGCTCTCTTTGGCCCTCAGCTGGCATCACGTCCAGGTTCCTGAGAGCCGCATGAGTTCGGCACTGAGTCAGCAGTTCAAGTGACACTGACTGACACCTGTCGAGTGACAGTTGCTGCATCCAAGTGGATTGCCCAGGCCGGAAGGATTGGCTCCAAGTTCGATGATTGGTTAGGGCCTCAGCTCGAGTGAGCTTTCGGGTGACACCCAAAGGTTGGCAAACCTGATGGTTTCCCCAAGTGGGGCATACGACCCCCCTGTGTGGGGGGGGCCTGCTGGGCATGTGGTCTCAGGATCTGCTTGTCCTGAGCATTGAGTGATGTGCCCGATCTCAGTTAGGGACGTGTGTTGCTGTTCACCTTGCTTGTGCTTGTCCATGAGTGTTAATATGATTAATCCTTCGTTCACATCTTTAGATGTTTTGGCCAGGTCATCTGACGAAGCAAAGAGGGGCCCGAGTCGCCCTGAGCTTCATGCCAGGCTCAAGAGAGCCAAGTTCCGTGATGACGGAGAGGACTCCATAGACTCTGAGGCAGTCATGTTACCATTGCCAGCAGATTTGGATTCTGCAGACCCAGGCCAAATTTTCGATACTGGGTTCGAACATGAATCACCCTGCAGCCCTTCCGTAGCAGGGACCATAGAAGCATCCGATGCATTCGACCCGATCCCTCGAGCATCCGATCAAATGTCTTCAAGCCAGGTAGGTTTGTTAGGACCCAATGACATGAACGACCTTCGATCGATGATTGAAGATAGTTGCCTGAAGACCCAGCCGTCCTTCAAGTTTGTCATGCCCTGGGACAGACCGGGATTGGCCAACATCTTCAACCGAAAGAGACCGAGTTTAATGCCTAAGCCAGTGCTTCAGTTGCTTGAACCCACGGTCAGCTCAGCATCCGATCAACCCAGCGCTTTGATTCCCAGTGCAAGCGTCAAGAGGGGATGCTATAGTGATGTTATCAATTTTAACCTAGACCTATCTCAAGCCGAAGTCGAGGAGAAAGTCAACAGGCAAGCTCTTGAGAAATGGTATGTGGTCTTTGCAACAGGCCCTGAGGCCTGGCCTAGGGGCTTTGATTTGCATGCGGCGGTCAGAGACAAGAAGCTGGATGACATGAAGCTTATTTTCGGAAACCGCAGCATTAACACCATCCTCAGGCGAGGCCAGTCCATGATTCAATTTGTAAGCTGGTACAAATCAAGGTTTTTCCATTTGTGCCCCTTTCCGATGACACCCGAAGCAGTCGAGGAGTATGTACAGTTTCTTCATGAAACGAATCGCTCTGCATCCGTGTTTCATGGTTTCGTGGAAGCCCTTAGCTTCTGCGAGCACGTCCTGGGAATTCAGGTAGGCTTTGAGAACCAGCCGCTGATCACCCATAAGGTGCAAAGGATCTTGGAGATCAAAGACTTTGAACGGAAAGAGAAAACGCAAGCCAGACTCCTCACTGTAGCCGAGGTAGAGTTTCTTGAAATCAGTTTGGTTGACGAGAAAATGGATCTGATTGATCGTGTTGCTTGTGGGTGCATACTCTTTTGCTTGTACAGCCGTAGCAGATGGTCAGACCTGAAGCGCGTGTACGGATTTGTGCAGGATGTTGTGGAGAAGGACGGGAAGATCTCAGGTTACATCGAGTGCAGGACTCGTTCCCACAAGACTGCCAGATTGGTATCTCGCAGCGGAGCCGCCATGCCCTTGGTAGCCCCAGTATGGGGAGTGACTTCGCCTCCCTGGGGATTGGCACTTTCTAGATTGCTCAAAGCAGCCGACAGGCCGGTCGAAGTGATCGATCATCAACCGTTGCTCATGGCCCCAAAGCCAGACGGGACCTGGTCACATAGAGCAGTCACTACCACCGAGGCAGGGAAATGGCTTAGGAAATTGCTTGGTCGCATGAATCCAGAAGCAGAGTATGCCACTGCTCACTCGCTCAAGAGCACACCGTTGTCCTGGTGTGCAAAGTGGGGACTAGATCCAGAAGTTCGCCTCATCTTGGGACATCACAAGACGGGAAAGTCTTCCGCCGAATGCTATGGCAGAGACAACTTGGCCAAGCCGCTCAGAGACTTTGACCTGGTGCTCCAACAGATCCGAACGAAGGCATTCGTCCCTGACTCCACCCGATCCGGGATGATCCAGGAACCAGAACGGAATGACCCTTCAGACACCTTCAGGGCACCGCCCGAAACTGAAGAAGCCGTTCCAGAGAGCTCTTCTTCTGATGACATGTCCGACGAATCTGATAGCAGTGACTCGGGCGATGCAGATGCAACCGATGCAGTCGTAGCACCAAAGACTTGGGACCCAGACACCATCATGTTTCGAAACAAGAAAAGTAAGGTAGTGCATGTGGTTGCAGTGGGGGGAGCACAGACCTTCAGCTGTGGCATCAAGATTACGGGAGATTTTGAAAAGATTGCCGAATCCCCTTTCCTAGAGCTGCGAAAGTGCAGGCGATGTGCCCAATCCAGACCACTCAAGACCGCTGGGCAGGTGGCAGCTGCGCTTGATAAGCTGCGAAAGTCGTGAAAAGAGGGGCTGTTTCCTTTGCAACGGATTTAGAAGCAGCAATACGTCGTGAGTGTTTGGACAGAGGTTGTTGCATTTCTTTTGTCCAAGTGTTTGACAAACAGAGTTGATGATTTTATGTATCCTACCCCCAAGTGGGGGAGAGTTTTCTCAAGTGAGAGACAACACAAAACGAAAGCGTGGAAACATAAGAAACGTGTGACGTCACACATTGAGGGCGAGTGCTACTCATGATACCTCTTATGTTCGCTTTCCGCTGCAGTTTTTCAGTTTTCTGGTCAAGTGACCGCACAAAGACGAAAGATGTTTGAATACTTTCCATTCCATGTTTTGACATCAAGGGAAACTCCAGCTGTGAAGGAGGCAAGACTGCTTCAGCTGGCATTGGTTAAGTAACAACAGTACAACATTACAACAACATCCAGCCCGCGCCCGCCGGAACCATGGGCACACTTCTGGAATCGAAGGAAGCACTGAAGTCCAGAGGCTTAGAGGTGAACCTCACTTCCGAAGAAATCGATGCCCTGATTGACAACAGGGTGGACTCCTTAGCAAGGCTGGCATTTGCTTGCTGTCCGCCTGGTGAAGCGCCTACGAACGAGCAGATAGATGCCCTGTTCGCGGGACGGACTGCACCGAACCAGGGGACCTATTCCTCTATCAAGAGGCTCATCTTCGAAGCACAGACTTTGCTCTCTGCCGAACTCCAGAACAAGGTCCACAAAACGGAAGACCAGGCCAAGTCAAAGATGGCCCCAGCAGAAAGGGATAACAGAATCAAAGATCAACGCATGAAGCTGGAAGGACTACGCCTGAAAGGGGAAGAGGAATGCAGTCACTCTTCATACGACCTCGTCCTCAACATGCTCGAGAAGGACTGCTTGATATATCTCGGACCCGAGAAATTCCCGACAAGGAGACAGGAGCTCATGCAGAAGAAGCCTGTGCGTGAGATATCAATAGATCAATCAGCCCTCGTCATCAGAGATCGACAACAGGAGCTCCTATGCAGTACCACTACCGAGCTGGAGACCGTGAACGCCTTCAGGCGAAGAGCACTGGCTTTTGACTTAGTCAAGTGCTGCGGGTTCCACACCATGAATACCTACCACTCTGAGCTCTTCGAGCACATCCACCAGGCACCGCCGCCTGGCTATGCAGCGGTCAGTCTGGCACAAATCTTGCGTGCTGACCGTGCCGCCTAGGTGATGATAGCTGAAAAGATCACGAGCCTGAAAAGGGACCCTCAAGGAGCCCTGCCATTGGAAGTGGAGATCCAGAAAGCCTTGACGCATCCGACAGTGTCATTCCACCTGCTGCCTCTGCCTACAAAAGCGGCCAGCACAGCCCCAAAGCCTGAGAAGCCGGCGCCCAAGAAAGACCGGTCAAGAACGCCTCCCAAGGGATCACCCACCAAACCTGCGGGAAACCCTGGAAAAGGACAGGGCAAAGGAAAGGGGCGCAAAGGATCCAACAAAAAGGGGAGGGGGCCGAATGTTCCAAAAGGGCTGATCAACAAGTCGCTCCAGACGGATGCAGGTGAAAGACTATGTTGGGCTTTCAATTTAGAGAAGGGATGTCCAGATGCGCCAGCAGGCGGCAAATGCGCCAGGGGCCTCCACCTGTGCACAGAGCCGGGGTGCCAGAAACCCCATAGCATGCAAAATCACAAGTGACAAACAAAGGCGGGTGCTCCCATTTTGCCATGTTCTGAGGCCCCTTTTCGAAGCAAAAGTGACGCCAAGATCCAGGGACGCCCACTTGATGAGTTTTATTGTATAGAAGTTTACGCCGGCACTGGCCGCCTCACTGCCGCCATTCGAGCCATGGGAATAAAGAACAGCTTTGGAATCGATTGCAAATTGCCTTCTCAGCTGCGTAGTCCCATAATTAAGTATGATTTGCTCAATCCAAACCATGTGAAGCTTGTACAGGATCTCATCGCTTCCCCACAATGTTTGTACGTTCATTTTGCGCCACCCGGTGGCACCAGCTCCAGAGCACGGCTGATACAGAGACGTGGCCGTTGGAATCCACCAATCATCCGCACTGACACTCACCCTGATGGCATCCCAGGCCTCAGTGGCACTTTGAAGGCACGTGTAGACTCAGCCAACAACCTGTACCATGCAACTTGCTTGCTAGTCAGATGGTGCATACAGCACAACACGTACTTCTCAGTGGAGAACCCTGGTAGGTCTTTCATGTGGCACACAACACCCTTTGTGGCCCTTATGCAGGAAGTACATGACCTACAGGAAGTTTCCTTTCATCATTGCCGATATGGAAGTTCCAGACGTAAGCTCACTAAACTCTTACATAACATTCCAAGTTTCGCCAAGCTGGAAGCCTTTTGTCTGGGAGACCATGAACATGAACCCTGGGGGCAAAACCCCGACGGCGGATGGAGGACTGCGGAAGAAACTGCCTACCCATGGGACTTGTGCCGAGCAATAGCAGCTAAGCTGCTGATGCAACTGAGCGAGGATGGGGTGATCTGCACTCCACCCGTCTTCGCCCTCCAAGAGGCCAATCTCCAAACTTTGCGGGCCACCACCGACATACAACCCCGCAAAAACCTCCCCCCAATGGTATCAGAGTTTCTCCACATCAGACCCCATCCAGTTAATAAACCTTTGCCACCACAGGCTCGTAGACTGAGCACTCCTAACTTCGGGGGTATAAACGCGAGTGTAACAGATCAGCAATCCATCACCATCAGTATTCACAGAAATCCCGATGAATTCGTCAGAGACGCTGCAGCTGTTGGACACCCCACCAGGATCCATTCCATGTTTCCAGATGAAATAACTGAAGTAGTCCGTACTTACGTTAATCTGGGACCCTCCAACATAGCCCTGCACAGGACTGAAGAGATAAAAAGATGGATAAGCCTCTCAGAAGATCTGAGATCAGCGGAGACTGTGCTGCGGTCGAACATGTCACCAAGACGGCAAAACATTCTGGAGGGGAAGAAGTTAGCTCTCCTCCGGACCTTGCTTATTGAAGCTGAGCACAGTGACCTCAACTTGGTAGATGATTTGACCACAGGGTTTGACCTTACCGGCGCCTTGCCAGAGTCCCACTCATTCACCAGGCGAGTCAGACCTGCTGCAATGTCTTGTGAGGAACTGAGGAATGTGGCCAACATGTGTAGGCAGGGGATGCTTGACATGACTCAATCCTCGGGTGACAGCGAGCTTGACGACCAGCTATATGCTGCCACTCGAAAAGAAGTCACGAAGGGCTTTCTTGATGGGCCTCTTGACCCTGGGGACCTGCCAGCCGGGTCCACTTTGACCCGAAGATTTGGCGTCAAACAAAAATCCAAGACCAGACCCATTGATGACTACAAAGCGTCCTTTGTCAACAGCAGTGTGTCACAGACAGAAGCTGCATCTGTGCACACTGTAGATCACATAGCAGCCATGGTCGCGTGTATCATGCGCACTGCCGAGACGCAGGGGCGCCAGCTGGATCTCACTGCCAAGGCGTGGGATCTGGCGGATGCCTACAAGCAAGTGCCTTTAAGTGACCGCGCCTTTGAGATGGATTCCTTCTTGGTAGTTTTTAGCCCTCTAACCAAGGGACCCGAAATATACCAACAAAAAGTTCTTCCTTTTGGATCTGTGGCGTCCGTCACGGCCTTCCTTAGACTGGCATTAGCCCTGTGGAAAGTTGGCACCAAGCTTTTGTTCTTGTTATGGTCGTCCTATTTCGACGACTTTTTCTCGGTGGCAGAACAGGCTACATCCAAGCATACTGACTTGGTAATATCAGCTTTCTTTGCCATACTGGGTTGGAACCTCTCGAGTGACAAGCTTGTGCCATTTGACTCCGTGTGCAAAGTTCTCGGGGTCAAGTTCGATTTGAAACTCTCAGGCGATGGGCTGGCTTTCGTCCTCAACACCGAGGAGAGGGTGATTGAGCTTTGCGATTGCCTGGATGAGGTCCTGACCTCCAAACGCCTGAGAAGAGGGGAGGGTGAAAAATTGAGGGGTCGCCTGATCTTTGCTGCAGGCCAGTTGTTCGGCAGATTTGTCAGGAACCAAGTCAGACACCTTTCCAATCACATTCGATCAGGCAGAGCCAACTTGACTGAAGCAACAGTTGATGCCCTAAAAGGGATTAGAAACTACCTCCATGCGAATGTACCCCGAAAAATAGTAGGATATTCGTGTGAACACATCCACCTGTATGTAGATGCATCCTTCGATTATGATGGTTACTCGGGGATAGGGGGCGCCTTATACAACAGCGCAGGCACTCCCGTTGCCTTCTTTAGTGAAACCCTTGACAGAGAATTTTTGGACATGGTTCGCTCAGAAGGTCAAGTGACTGTCATCCAGGAACTAGAGATGCTGGCGCTCATGGCAGCTATCAGCCTTTGGTGCCCGGAGTTCAAAAGCTATAGAGTAGTTGCCTTCACGGACAGTGAATCAGTTCGTGGCGCCTTCCTCAAGACCTGGTCCAACAACCATCAAAACAATCACCTCTTGGCGTGCATCTTCCAAGTGGAAGAAGAATGTCTGTGCCAAATCTGGCTGGAGCGAGTGCCCAGTCAATCCAACCCATCCGACCTTCTCTCCAGAGAAAAAGTCAACCAGTGGATGGGCTTGAAGTGCAGGCAGGTGGATTTCAGAAACCTCTGGAATCGTGCAGCCCTTTTCAGGGGTAAGTGCGCGGCTTGACGCAACGATTTTCCCCTGGTGACAAAAAGATCATGGCGGCAGCTGTCACCGTTGGATCAAGGCTTGCAGGTTGAGGTCGTTTCTGCAGCATGTAGGGATCAGCCAAGAACATGCCCAACAAATAAGAGTTTTCTCATGGAACATGATAAAGCGTTATTTGTAAGGCAGGTTTGAAGAGTGAATGTTCATGAACGTGCTGATCACTACATCATTTCGTCCCCGTTGTTTTAGCTTCAAGTGAAGCAAATCAGAGCAAGTGCTCTGATGGTCATGTGTCCATGTTCACGAACACAACATGTCACAGACACTTGACCTTGTTTATGTGTTTTCACTTTCAATTGTTTTGGAGTCAATACTCATATAACAAAACAATTACACAGTTTTGAATTTTCGTCCCAAAACCTCTCCCACCCTAGCAAGTGCTACTGGAGCAAGTGCTCCCACTCCAGTAAGTACTGGCAGAGCATGGATGTCCAACCTGACATCGACTTGGTCTCTATCTTCAACGAAGTTTTTCTGGTCCAGACCTACCTCCACAAGTTAGAGATCATCGAAGAGATCATCACTGACATCAGTGATTTTGTGGAGGACCAGGCATTGCTACAACCTTCAGTCCAACTCAATGCAATGCGACAACAAGTGGGACAAGTCAAGATTCAACTCCGCTTCCTTCTTCAACTGAAGCTCCTGGAAGCCTGTCGTCGTCTACGACAACATGTTCTTCAATATGGACACCTTCCTCTTCTGAATCTTGATTTTCGCCGCTGACTGGCCTTAATTCTTCGGCGCTATTTGCCTACCCCGGCCAGTGCGCGGCTTGACGCAACGATTTTCCCCTGGTGACAAAAAGATCATGGCGGCAGCTGTCACCGTTGGATCAAGGCTTGCAGGTTGAGGTCGTTTCTGCAGCATGTAGGGATCAGCCAAGAACATGCCCAACAAATAAATAAATAAATAAATAAATATATATATATGTGATTCATATATATATATATGATGTGTATACACATATACACATACGTACCTACATTTTATATTTTATATATTCGTACAGTATCATCAATTGTAGGTTTCTTTTTTTCTCCTGCCCATGTGACGCCAGGAGCAAAAGCTCTGAGCTGCTGCAAGGACCCTGGAGAGGAGCCTCTCCCGAGGTGCAGAGCAAATACGCCGAGTTCTTCCGAGACCACGGCTTCGAGGCCATCTCCGGCCGCGGGTCGCATGGCATGCCGGTCGGCTGGTTGAAACCTGGGCATGGCACTTTGAGTGTTGGGATAGATAGACTTAGACTTAGGACTTTTGAACTGTTTCTCCGCGCTGTTCTGTTGAACCGTTGAGAAGATTGTGACTTCAGGGATGTGGCGTAGGATTCAATTGATTTTTATAAAAAAAAAATGAAGATTCAATGCGCCTCCAGCAAATTTTCGAGAAGATTAGACCTCAATTGGGTAGTGGTTCTAG